AATTTTATTTAGACTCGGTACTACTTTATACTATGTGCAAGTATAAATATAACAGTTTGATTCTGTTTCCATTTTACCAAATTCCGGAATAGGCTGATAATCTCGTACCGGAAAAACATTACTTAAGATTTAACTATAATGATAATCTGGTAATTCTGCCCACTTAGTTTACAGGAAATCTCAACGACTTGGTTGATTACCGTTCGATTACCATGCTATTCTGAAATCCACAAGATCAGAATTGAAAAAGTCAATTTCCGACCACAGGACTCTGACTATTCAAGTATTCAAGCGGATCAATGTCAAAATTTGAAATTAAATTATTTTGTTACTTTTGACTATCTATACCAGGGGTCGGCAACCTACGGACCGCGGCCGGATCCGGCCCGCGGAGCCATGGAATCTGGCCCGCGACGCTTCGCTGAATTATAGTAACAACGCAGCTGTTTTGACGATTATATTCTTTATGTAACAGAATTTATTGTGAGACATGTTTAGAGACACTAAATTATATTATAACCTAACAAGTATATAATCCACAATTACTCGTTTAATGAGCCTATAATGTAATTATAATTAGACAAATGGAAACAAAGCGAGGAAGAAGATGATGAAGCTAAGTGCAAATGGTATAACGGCGCAGAAAATATTCAAATAGTCAAACTTCGTGCACTGCTTAAAATATAACTTCTGATCTGTGTGAAAAAATGTGATTCATCAGCCGCCCGTTCGGTTTTTACCTTTCTAAAAATATGTGCGGCCGCCAATGACTTGCAACCTTAAATTTGGGCCCGCGAGTGACGAGAGGTTGCCGACCCCTGATCTATACCTTTGAAAAAATGGAATTGTCAACAGCATTGGCTGAGTTCTAAAATCTTTTCCAAAGGTTTTTACTGTGAGTCCACATTTTAGGGTGTGACCAGTATTCAATCGTTAAGTTACTGGTAGATTAGCATTAGTAAAATATTTGCCACGTCAATTAGTATTTTGACGGGAATACGTAATGTGTATATAAGTCCTTTAATGACTTACCCTCATATCGCAGTGTATGGACAATATATGAAACGCTTCTATATGATGGTTTATCATTGGTACATGCTTGTTGAATCCGTACAAATACCACAGTGTTGTAAGAATTTGTAAGCACACAATGAAATACGAATAGTCAATATGTTTTATCACGTTCAGATAATGGGAGCCAAGCCCATGTCGGCATGGTCACGTTGGTGGGGTGATTTTTCGGGAAAAGTCAGACAAAAGTTTGCTCAAAATAATGGGAAGTGGAACTAAGACTGTTTGTTTTCAAGATACCAAACATAAATCTCTCTGTTATGTGAGTGTGTGGTATGTTACTGGATGTGTAAGATAAAATTCACGTGGCCAATTTATAAACATTGATGAATAATTTTCAATTTAACCCTCAAAGGCGGGATAAATATTCTAGATATATGAAAATGAATGTCCCAGCGGTAGTTGGTACGACGATAAAAATATGGACGAAAATTTAATCCAGCATAGAAATTCCATAACCAGCATTCATTACCAATGTCAAACTAGCTTTGAGTGAATTTTAAACGAATGTGAATAATGACTATCAGAACACTGATTAAACACAGATGCTTACTTCTTTCTGATGAAGTAACCGAGCTTAAGTTCAATTTTCTCCCTCTGTGGTATTCGCTAATGGCATTCCTCCCGCGGGCTAATTGCCCACCGCTACCGGTAGCCGTAAACTGCTTATTAAGCCTGAAGACTGCAACGATCGTTTCATTCTGCCGAGCGTGATGTGCAGATAAAATGAACTTGAAGTCTTATTTATCATGGTTGGCGGGATACAATTTTCCTGACAATATTTTGTTCCGTAATTTGCTACCAAACGTCGAGGACAAAATAAACAAAGTTTTGCCTCGGGCTTTCGATAAGTTGACGACTTCCTGGTGGCAGACACACGGCAAAAGTATCCTAATGAGATAGAACTGATTCCAATATAAACATGCAATTCATGTATCAAGATGTACCGTTATATCAATATGCGCTGTTTTATTAATAACGGAAAATTTAAGACCTAAAATGGCCGAACGTCACAAATTTCAAGAAGCCAACAAGGTCTCAACCAGAAAATTATTTGAATAAATAAATATGTTCTTGGAAGCTTGAAGTATGGCGACTTGATTAAAGTAATGATGTTTTCAAAATATCTATCACTCTGAAGGATAATAATCAGCCTATTATGACAACAACGGAATGTGAAGAACGAAAATATTCTGTATTGATACAGATAACAAATATACTATTTTGTACTTGACATCGAGTTTCAAACCTGAAAATCTATTTTTAGGTAAATTTAAAATTATTCTTTTTGCCATAAAATCTTTAACTTACATGGCGAAGCACTGTAGATTATTCGAACTTAGCTAAGCTCCAGAACGATGTTTATCTAGGCGAGCGTCATTTCTAATATTATCACGAGGATTACAAGTTAAACAAACTAAAGATAGACCAAGTCACCATATGAAGAATGTCTCGACTGTATGGGGCTGACGTCACCCCAAACAATGAGACACGAGATGCCGCAGCTTTTGATCGAGAATTTTATGCCTTGCGGGACACAGCTGATTGATGTTAGGTTTCTGGAAATATCATTTTTATAACGAAAATATTGCAAATATATTTATTTTTGTATCAGTTTTATTTTGACAAGTCGAATTAAACAAATGTATCCCGAAATATCCAAGGTTTAGATTGACATATTTGACATTTCGCAAGCACGGAATATAGAAGACATCTGTATATATATATAGAGTACAGACACAGTTAGCCGGTGTTAAACTGATCCCGGCAATTTTGATAAATTCACCCGCTTAGTTCCTTCGCGTAGACCGGATCCGGCCCGCGACGTTTTACTGTACTATAGTAACAAAACAGCTATTTTGGGATTGTATTCGCTATACGTAAGAGAATTTATAATGAGACACGTGTGGACTAAATTATACTATAACCCATCAAGTATAAAATTCACAATTACTCGTTTAATGAGCCTATAATTTAATTATAATCAGACAAATGGCAACAAAATGCAGAAAAGTTGATGCTAAGTGCAAAGGCTTCAATGACGCAGAAAATATTCAAATAGTCAGTCTTCGCGCGCTGCTTAAAATTTAACTCCTGATCTGTGTGAAAAAAATGTGATTCATCGGCCATCCGTTCGGTTTTCTAACTTTCTAAAATTATGTGCGGCCCGCCAATGACTTGCAACCTTCAATTTTGGCCCGCGAGCGACAAAAGGTTGCCTGGCGTAGACAGTAGTTCTCAAACTTTCGTGATCAGTGGCCCCAATCCAAAGGCTCTCAAGAACCATGGCCATGTGCTCTTTTATATAAAAAGGCGTTTATTCTTTTAACGCGTTTCAACAGTTTATATATGCGCCACGTTCAATAGTAAAAAAGCCAATAAACGAATTATTGCATTACAGTCAAAGAATTCAACAAATCACCGCCAATTTACTTTAAATTCAGGTATCCTTCGCGAATAGTTCCCAGTAAAGGCCTTTGCTCATGGCGTAAAGGGCCATAGAACAAGATCAACGTAATATCTGCTGTTACGTGCAAGTGCAACTAACCTATCGAGAACTCGCAATCTACGTAACCAGACTCCAGGCACTTCACAACAAAAAAGAGATTTTTTTACCTTTTCACATTTTTTATTTAAGAATAATATTAATAATAATAAACATCCCAATTCGATGAAACGTGTCAAGCACAAAATATAACAATGATATCGATAATAATATTTAATAATAACTATGATCAAAGAAAAACATGAAACAAAAAAAAATATAAAAATACGGCAAATAAAATTGACTATTTCATAAAGTAAATTGCACATGATATCCCATCAGAAAATGCTCAATTCTAAAATTTGGCTTCCAATATTTTCAGTTTAGTCTGAAACTTTGCAAACTAACATTTTCAAGAGTGCTATTTGCTAATTTGCCGAATGTCGAGGATGAGTGAAACACCAAAGGCCTCGCACAAAGCTTACGAAACTGAAAAAAAAATGGTTGAAGAGACTACGATTGGAAACTATTTTGGGAGATAAGCTATCCAGTTACCTTGATGTCTTTATGTTGATGGGCGCGCATGTTCACCAAGCATTTTACTGATGGGAATGATAAAACTTTACAGCAAGCAACCGAACTGAAGTCTAATGAGTGGAATAACCAAAATATATGTGGTCTAGAAATACGCCCACAACCAAAAATTTTCAGACTATCCCCAAAGTCTTGCCACATCCAGAAACAAAAAATAATAAAATCACAGTTATGGGCATGCCTAAAACCTCAAAATTTAATAGGGCTTAAAAACCCCAAATCTACAAGGTCACGTCAAAGTCAACACAATAAATCATTTACTTTTAGCTTGGGGTTTTTCCAGTAAAATGAGCTTCGGTTTCAGTTCAAAATATTGAAATCAAATTAAATTTGACACTAAGATAACCCAACGGCCACTTGACTTACAAGGGACAAAGGGGTAAATTCCATATTATAACATATGCCTTCATATTTATATAATCTTATTATAAAAAACTTTCATCATAATAAGATAGATATGCCACTGTCATACAGACCATCAATGGTCTGGATTTATGGTGTGATGACATAATGACCTCTAGTGTTATAGATTGAATCAATAATCATATTAAACGTAATGGCATAAGTGAAGTGGAATTAGAAAGGGGAATTCACACAGGTCAACATGAAGGTGAAGGCCACCAAAGAATATATTATATTACTCATCCTCATCCAGATATCCCACTATTTTAGTTACCATTTTAATACCTAAAATTATTTTATATATAGTTGAAATTGAAAAAATTGGCTGTAAAATTATGCTTTTAAAAAGAACCCATAAAAACCAGGTTAGACAATTTGGCTTATTATGCCCATATATCAAAGACACAATACCAAACAGCGGCAATTTTTATTGAATCATGTCCGTGACTGACATACATAAATCATGCACCATATGTAAGTTTTAACATGTCCGTGTCGAAACCAACTTGTAACCGAATTTTACTGAATCAACAGCGCTTGACACTAACAATAGAGTCACTCTGACATAAAAACTAATTATACCATAGAACACATGGAAAAATGTGCACCTATAAAATCAAAGCGGGCAGTGGAATCTTAGACATAATATTGGATTGGATATTACAACCCTTTCAATTACAAACATTGGGATATTTTACAGTTGTAGAACAACAAATCTTCATGGCTTTCTCGCAGATTGAACAAATGTGAAACTAGATCTTTCGTGAGAAATATGAAACTTTTAAGCCTGATTCATACTTGGCATAGATAATAATCACAATCAAAATATCAGCGCCTAAACAAAACCACTGTGTTTATTCAATCCAACCACTGCTAGGAATTTGGTAATGATGTCATACAATGGTACTTGAGTGTGGTAACATAACAAAATCACTTGGTATCTCTGCGTCGTCGTTACTAAGGATGGTGGTTTAAAAAGAGTTTTTTGAATTTGAAACTAGCATCACGAAACTACAAAAAATAGGCTTGGTTACAGAATTTAAAAATTTGGAGGCATCTTCGCATTAGATTTGAAACTCAACAATCAAACTGTATTCTTACATAGGGTTCGAACAGCAAATACCCAACAGCAATGATACAAAAAGATAGATAATTTAGGTGTGTTACCATGAAATATTTTTGTAATTGAACTATTGTACTTTTGTAATTCGTATTCTAAAATTTGTCATATGCCATTTTATACATGGGGATTGGAATATAAAAAACTACAAATTTTGATAACATCCATTATTTCAAAATATCCATTTCATTACGGTAAAGTTATTAAAAATGATTTTTTTTTATTTTATTGAAAATACCAATCTCACCACAGTCACTCTTTATTTTGCAGTCCTCATTTACCAGCATATAATCATAATATATCAAAAAAGGAGTATTTAAAATAAAATATGCCAGAAATTTTAAAATTTTGTGGGAAAAAAAACAATGAGGTACCAACTTAATCACTGATCAAGACAGTAATGTAAAACAGCCAGAATTTGAAAGAAAATTAATATGAGAACAGGTGGATAATTATAATTTAAAGAACTTTGTGCAAATCACAAAAAAAAAAACTGTACTTTAAAATTTCATAATTACCATGTAGTGTATACTCAATCCTATAATGAACGAGGGTCCAATTAGCTACTAGCATGCAATTCCGACAGAAATAGATAATCTTGAAGTGCCCATTAACCATCATGAATTACACCTTTTAAGTTTTGAGTTTCAAGTTTGGCAATTGAAGCTTGGTCTCATTATTAACTTTTTATACAATGCCAATCAAATTTCAGTTCATGTCATTTCTAAAATATTTGAAATGAGATAGTATTTTTATATTTTATTTTAATCAGAAAGGGGAAACTCGATATTGAAATTTGAAATCCTCAAAAAATTAAAATTTGAAAATTTAAAAAGAATGGTATTTTATTGTGTGCAATTTGATAGTCCAAAAATTATTCATATATCATGATGCATTCATTCAAACATTCCGTTATATAATCTGGTATTGCGCACATGTGAAGGTAAATTGATCCCATGGGAAAAGTTGTCTGCAGCTAGGATTAGCATGGAATGCATAATATGCTAAAGACCTCAATTTACTATGATGAAAGAAACCCATCACGTGGTCCTGTCAAACAGTATGAACAGTAAAACAGTCATCAGCAAACATTCCACACATTAATAAAACATTAGAACCCTGGCTGAGAACAAGTCTATTATGTTTTATGGTCATGTACTATAGGAATTATACCAGCAATTAGATAGCAATAGCATACCCATTATTTAAACAATTATGTCTATTGTCAATTTGAAAATAAAAATTTAATTTATAGTTATTTGATACAAAGAATGAGTATCTAATTCTAAATATTATGCACATTTTGAATTTTATTTCAAATTTTATGTTATCAATAAAAGACCAACTGTATTAAACATTATTTGAGTTATTTTTACCAGTTTCATTTTCAAAATTTCACACAATTACTGTTTAAATATAGCAAATTCGAATATGAGCTATTTTCATAGATAATCTCTACCAATATCAATAGCTGACCACGGATTTGAATCAATTTAAAGTATGTGAAATACATTCATTTAATAAGTCAAAAATGATAGTATTTCATATCATTCAAATGTATTTTATACTGTGTCAAATAAGTGTGTAGCCATATTCAAGATTCCAATAACTCATTCATGATTTACAGTTGGCCAAGTTGAGAAATTCCTATCAATTAATTTTTTATTAATGAGCAACAAAAATGATGGCAACTGATAAAACTACGTACTCCTTAATAAAATATTAAATGAAAACATTATTAATAAACCGATCAAATTTTTTAATGTTTACAGACGTTTGACCTGAAACAAAGACTCTCCTGTTTTGATCTGTTAGTCATTTTATAATATCGAACGAAGTTTGTTAAATATGTGGTAGTCCCATGCGCTCATGTTTACCAAGAAAATATTTGAACGTTTGCGCAAGACATTCAACAACCCTCCGCTGCAAATAAGAACTAGTGTATTTTATCGGGTAAAGTTATGGATACCAAACATACCAATTGAATCAGTGGTTATTAATTAATGGGATGACATACCAATACTTTTGAAATCACATACAGAATTCTAACAAAGTTGAGAAAATTAATTGCGTGGTTTTAATAACAGAGTACTAGAAAGAGATGTCATCCATGGCCAACACTTGGGAATGAATGAATGTTACCGAGTTAACTCATTGCTGATATAAGGATGACCTAATACAGTTCTAACTGAGAATTCGAGGATATTTTCCCTGATATGGGTTAATCAAATTGAAATTACCGGTAATGCCATTAACATAGTTCTCGAGTTGTTCAGTAATAACGATTTTAATAAGCTGGATCAATTATCCAATTAAGAACATGTTGAATATTCAATGAAAATGATCTTTAGCTTTGAGCTCACAAATTTCATAATTGTGTGTCCAGCCAGAACAAAGTGATAAAAAAAATTAAACTGCTGAAACATGATTGGGAATTTTTTATTACTTTTCATGTTTTACCAATATTCTTTTATACACACCAATTCAAAGACATTACCATAAACTTCGAAAAAAAAGAAGGGACTGAGACAGAAAGAGTTTAATCTTCTCCTATTTTTTAAAAATATCTAGCAGTTCTCAACAAAATTTTCATATCCTCAGGTAATTTGATTCTGTTAAAATGCTATTACTGTGATAAGAAAAACTTGATTTTTGTCCTGTCCTACTTATCCCGAAAATAGCTATATCTAATATTTCAAAACAATTCACCCAAAACTTTTAGGCAGTGTAATTGAGTTTTAAATCTAACAATACAAAATTAGTTATCAACGAAGTAATATTTTTTATTATCAATTATTCGGACAAATGGATGTTTAAACTTGTTAACTTGGTGCATGATTTAATTGAAGTCAAAAAAAAAACAGCCATTTTTGGTTTCTTCGATTTTTCAATTTTGCGTTATCATTACAATGTTTACAATTGGATAAAGATGTATATATAATATTCAGACCATATGGAACTCCCAAAGAAATTATCCTATATTAGAAAAGGGCATAAACACTATGGCACGTTTCTAGGAATTTATAAAAACTGTAAACATATCGTATACTATCGTAAACGAAGTGTGTACACCATATAACCACGTAGGTAAACATAACAGAAAAAAGAAAATAACATGGAACTCATAAACCAAAAAAAAGTAAAATTTCATCTGTCATCAAGCTTGGTATACAGATTGAATCTACTCCTCTCTGATACAGACATGGCCAAGGAGCAGATTTTCAGTGAAGATGGAGATGGAGGTTTGTAAACAGAAATCTCTGTTTACATTATGTTGAATTTACCAAACGTGTGCATAAGTTACCTTTCGCTTTCACAACAACAAATCCGCCAAGTTCAAGTTATTAAAATATGAAAAGGAGAATAAAAAGTTTAGCAAATACTTCAAAGTGTATTCGATTGTCGTTATAAGACTAGCCTGGTAATAGCATACTACTTCACATTCCAATGTGTATGATATTGATTATCCCTAGAGCCCACTGCTATGAATGCCTTCGCTGAAAATGCCGATGACATAAATATTAACACAGAGGTAGGTAGACAAAATGAATAAATGATGAAGTTCGAAACGTCCATACAATTTATTTAACTATTACTAAGACTATAAAATTTAAAAGTTCTGTAATAGGAGCAATACAAAATCATATCTTTGTCATATATTATATCATGATTTTCCTATGTGATCTGATTCAAAGTGAATAAAATGTAAAATAATTATATTATTTTAAAAACAACATTTTTCATCAAGTCCTACGTTTCTCCTTGCATATGTAAAAAAGAGTTTTGACTTTGAAGTGAGCAAGCACTAGAGGACATTGATACGCTACCACTTTGATTCACATTGTCAGTGTATACCATATGAGAATTTATGAGAGACATTGGCTCAATGCCGTTAGCACACGGAGCCTCGTACCCTTCGAGAGTAATATGAGTGCTAATGTCTAATCGAGGAGGGCCGCCGTCAGAACATCGAGACGAGTTTCTACGCAAACTGGCTCGAACTGCCTTAGCCCTTCCCCGTGTCATTGAATTATTCCTGTAGGCAAAATGACCAGGACTACCAGACTTACTTGACCCTTGACTGGAGCTTGATGACAAGGATCCTGTGCTGCAAGATAGTTTATGTAACTGTCCTTTGATATCACTAGCTTGCTGTAATTCCATATTAAGTTTGGAGTCTATCGATTTCAATTTTTCAGCTCTTTTTAAACGCTCTCCGAGAGCTCGATTATTAATATTTTTCGCATCACGCAACTCCTTTTCCAATTCTCTACACCGTCGCAAGACTTGATTTTTTTCTTCTTCAGTCGCTTTCGAATTAGCTTTCTGACTGTATAGTTCGTTTAAAAGTTCTTCCTTTTCTGATATGAGTAGAAGTGTATGGGGGTTACCATCCTTCGACCCCATGAGTTCTAAATTCATGCGCTCTGCGCTTAATTCCTCAATTTTGTGGTTGGACTCTTCTAAATTATAAAGAAGTTGTTCTTGCGAAGTGTGCAATTCTACTGCGTGGTTTCTTAGCATATGATGTTGCTGAGCCTCATGGTGAAGATGCTCAGAAGAGTTCATGACACAGCCGCTATCTTGCTGTGTAGTCCACTGTTGGTGTTTCACTTTCGCAGTGTATATATTCGCTTCAATAAACGATAGCTGATGTCGAAGTTGATGCACTCTTTGTTTCATTTCGTCTATTTCACAACGAATTTCATCGGGATCGAATTTGGTACTTATTGACCAATTTGAACCAGACATAGAGCTGCCATTCGAAGTTGATTCGTTGAAATTTTGACTTGAAGTTGAGGATTTGTGACTTAAATGACTTGTGTGTCTCTTTACTCGTTGTTGTAAAGTGTGGATCGTATTTTCAGCTAAATTCAATCTTTCTTGTTTGATTTTGAACATCTCTTCTTGTAGTTCTATATCCGCTAAAGCTGTATTCACATACTCTTCAAGCATTGTCTGTTGCCTTGATTTCCAAGTTTCATGAGGATCTTCTTTTTGGTTAAGCCCCGATATATGGTCAATAAAATATACCCCAATATTGGGATCATTACATTTTTCCCATCCGATCGGCAATTCATTCCCAGCACAATCAGCAAAGGTTTTTGGTTTTGCAAGGCAATCACGAGGATCAATCCAAGTTGTACGCTTGGAATTGTGATCAATAAAATACGATTTGCCATCATAATCTGTTGCCTCTTCCCATCCAAGTGGAAGAGGCAGATCATTGGATTCACTGGCCATAACTGGCATGTATATCGCTGGTGTTTGATAACATGGATTTAAAAGAACAATCCTGCTTAAAATTCACTTAGATTAGTTGCTGGTATCTCTAGGAAAAAAAATAGAAAGAAAGTTAGATTGAAAGAAATAACTTAAGTGAACTACGTAAAACTGGAGACTAAAGATGCTGTAAATGAAAAACAAATTATCACAATATCTATCTATACAAATAAACAGTTATTCAGAAATTGGACCCATAATGATACAACTTGAAATTCAACACCAAAATAACATCCATCAATAAAGTAATGATGAATGACATCACACATACTATATGATTCGTGCTATTTCCTATGATGGACGGAATATATTACCTAATTTTTAACACAATTACGGTAGATTTGTACTTTCATCTTATAGCTCTTTTATTTGACTTGGGTACAAATTAAAATTGATCTCTATTGATAAATATTTAGGAGTAAGACATATCCATACTGAAAAGCTCAGTACTGTAAAATTGTAGGTACCATAAGAATAAGGATTCTTAATTAACGTAAGATGTCGAACATGCAGAAAATTATAATGTAATAAATTTACCAACTAGTAAGTAAGAAAAATCAAAACCCGATTTAAAATTAACATAGTTAATAACAATATCTCTTATATAACAAATACCATAACTACTTCTAGAGCCATCCAATCAAAGATCTACTGTTTATTATAAAGTTTCATATGCAAACACTGATTTAATCATTCAACAGAAATACGACCAGTACAATGGTACATTGTTTAACAGTATAGTCAAACAAAAAGCAGTTTTACAAACACAATACCGCCAGAAACTCTGCTAAGCTTGACTAAATCTTTAAGAGTGATTGAAACTCAAGAGTGGTCATTGAGAATAAGCATCTTATAAAAACCACTCCATCTGATAAGAGAGCATTGTGCCAAGCATAGCATTTATCAATGCTGGCATTACAGACCACAAAGTTAACTGAAAGGTAAAACTCAAAACAAGAAGTCTTGCAAACATGAAACTTAGAAAAAAAATCTGAATTAAACAGGCAAATATCAGAAAATGGAAATTTTAATATAATTTATTGGCTGAAAAATTAATACTATTCAATATTAATAAATGTTTGCCATGTAAATAAATATTCAAATACATTTTGCACCTTCCTATGTATTCAATACAAAATTAAGGTTTATTTTCAGATAAATTTGTATAATGGAGCTTTTACTGCTATAGAGCAATAAACACTAATAGATTAGGCAAGGCTGAACATTTGAAGGCTGAACATCCCATTGATAATTTATATACTCTATAAAAAATACCCATCCTTTTCTAATATACCAAAACTAACAGATTCCCCCTCTCCTAATTTAAGCGTAATCGCTCTCTTGGTAAATGTAAGTTACATAACAGTTTTCCGTATTACTTGCAATCTATATTAGACTGAAAATAACTACGGTAACTATAATAGACCAGTGTCCTAACATACAAGATACAACCAAATTGTTGAACTTCAGATATTAGGCTATCTAGAAATCAACAAAATTATTTGGCATCTCTTACCCGCTGACCTGAATTTTTACATCTTTCTCAATTCCCTATAGATCAATTATGTGAGGTGAATGACATTCCAAAACAAATCAATAATCTTAGGATTAAGACCTAATCACGATTTACAAAGAGCGCCAAATACCAGTATGTTATTGACTGATGGATTAGAACGTCCTTATTAAGCAAGGAGATGAGAAATAATTTTTCACCCAAATGAATATATGCATATGAAAGTCTTATGTTTGTTGTATATATATAAAGATGGCCGAAATTGAATATTTCGAATATATTCTAAAATCATATTTTTAAATGGAATATAGTTTTAATTTGGTCATATCCAACTTGCAGAAATTATTGACAATTATATAAAGCATAAGTATTCAGTTAGGTGGTTGTTTTCTATTTTTTACAGTGTCATATCATATATTAAATGAAATATATTTAATGTCTCAGAAACAGATGCTTATATTGACAACTTTTAAAACAAATTACTGAATTATTTCCAAAATAATACACTTACTATATCAAAAATCATCAATTTTGAATAAGTTTATAAATCGTTTTGTACATCCCTGGGAACAATCATTATGCTCTGTTTGGGGTCGAAAATATTCGAAAATATATTGCTATTACTTACCACCGGTATATTTTTTATATTCTTGCTATAAACATTACACCATGACAGAATTGTTATTTCAAATTTGTGTATTCCCTGGAGAACACATATTCTAAATATCGATGTTGTAACTTGTAAGGTAAATTATTCAAGACCGTATGATATATATTTTATTATCAATAACTTTTAGTTGTTGCCTACTTGAAAAGAGCTAATCGAAAAAGACACAAACTACCTTATAGATACTAAACCAAACAGTTAGCATGCTAAATTTTACTACAGATGTCATCATAATTTATGACAATACTACATTGTAAGAAATAGATTAAAAGTAGATTAAGAGACTTCAAACTGTGTATAATTATTGAAGCCAAATCCTGCAGACTTATCCAATGAAATCAAACAAATGCAACGGTAACATACAAGGTATAGAGTCTAAATTATGTACTATAAAATTGAACTAGCACTGCTATGCCAGAGAGAAAAACACAAGTGCGAACTGTATAAAAAATTCATGAGATGTGCAAGCTAGTATTTGTGTCATATTACTTAGGGGTTTGAATTGAAATATACAGGTATAGTAAGACTTTGACGATGGAAAAATAGAATAAATTATTTAAGCATGACATGTCGTTTCCATGGTTACGATTGTAAACAAAAATTCAAATAGGATATGATGGTGCCTTCCTCGTGGACCATAGACTTGGATATAAGAATTTTTATCTTTTTAATTTATAAAAAAACAATACAAAAAATAATCATCTAGCAGAACTTGACCACTGTGGCTATGGTCAGTATACTCAAATTATGGCAGTATGGTATAGCATTATTATTAGGCTCTGATAATTACTTTAGATACAAAAAATAAAATGAATATACCTCACCAAAAAGTATCACAAATGGAACTAGAGTGTATGTGTTTGGCTATAAGAAGTTCAGATTGTCTTTTATTATCCAGTGATTCAAAATACCAGGAAAACAGAACAGGATTTTCATATTTATATCTGGTGAAGGAAGCCAAAATTTTTCAATTATAGGGCGTACTACTGCATGTCAATCAACCAACGATGACATATACCGTAATTATCTACCACGGGCAAGGTAATCAGAGGTGCGAAGGCAAAAATCTTCTAACACTCATCAAGATGTGCCAACCACTGAGCAGCATGAACAAAATTATGAATCATTAGCTGATGCATTTTCCTACATAATAGCATCCTGAAGTTTTATTACTTTTAAACTTCGATGAAGCAGAATTATATTACAGTAGTAAACTCTAACAAATGTGCACATAGGCTATGTAAAGCAAGCAAGTTAATATTTTTTATATCATCCCCAGTTAAGCACAAGCTGCTTGGGCAATTGTAAATGAATCTATTCATATATATTATATTTCTTCAAGCATAGGAATACTACCAATTTGATTTGAAACTGTCAAGCATAGGAATACTACCAATTTGATTTGAAACTGTATATTTTCTAGTAGGCGCATTGCATAATATTTGTTCAGAACTTGGCCTCAGTAGGCCCTACCTAATACTGTAATCTCATCACTGCAACCCACTCATCAACCTATACTATAAGATAGATAGTTTATTTTGAAAACTCCGAAATACAATAATACACAAAAAATAAAATTGAAGAATTCTGGAGAGCATGCAAGACCTTTAAAAAAGTTTAAAACATTAGAAATATCACGCATCCGCATCTTACACAAGCAATATTGAACAATAATATTTCATTTGGCATTGATTTACTGTTTATTTCAGTATTTATATTCAATTGTCTGATATACAAAGGCTAATCTCAGAATGAATTCTGCTATTGCTGTATTGCAAACTTAATTGGCTTAAGCCCTCAATGTCTCATTTTTCAGGATTGAGTAATATTGCACCATGAGAATTAGAACAAGGTCGCCCACAGGTCACAAAAAGTTGTCTTAAATTGCTACTACTGTACTGTATAAAGCAGCGTAAACAATCTGAATACAAGTCTTCTACTTTATATTGTCTCCCTATCTAAAGCATCCACATTGTTCATTCCACGATTGCAACGAAAGGGTCCGAATAACAGTATCAAATACCAGACGTATCTCTCATTCTACATCTACAGATCTACAACGTACGATACCGTACCGTACATTCTTTTGTTGGCTTTTGAGATCGCCCTCGAGTAAACGAAATTAATAGATTAAACATTAGACGTATTGAAAATCTAAAAAAGGCGCCCACTCAGATCATATTACCAAATTCCAATGCGCGAAAAAAGTCAACATGCGACTTTGTAATCGGCAAACAAAGCAAAGAATATATACTAGGTAAGACGCCTAACAAACTTCACAAAACCAAATAATAAATACGAAGATTCGGATTTCAGACAATCCGTTGTTCTGGAAAAGCTGATGATGAACATCTCAATGTCGACATCTAGCGCATAATGAATAATGTGAATTTCCACAAGCATCGACTTCGTTGTTTCAGGTTATCACTTCTGTAACATTGGCTAATCAATAAGATTACAACAGTGACTTAATTATCAAATCCGCCGCCAAGACACTATTTCACTTGGACAGATTTTCTGATCATGGTAAACAACAATAGCTTCGTAGTTCTTTTATCTATCTGTTATGTTAGTCGTTGGTCATGTCAATGGCCAAATACATCCGTGGGTGGTTAGTTTAGTCGTATATAATCAATCAATCAATCATTTATTCGTCGTCACAAGAACATCAAATGCACAAAAAATTGGTACAGGAAATAAATATAATAATCATGATATTTGTGCGACAGGAGTCGCGAAGGACCTTATTAGGTCTTTAATCAGAGACACCTAAAGCGCTGTTACTGGTTCAGTGTAAAAAAAATAACTACATTTGCTACAAACATTGACTATGCAATAGTCGTTATGATGAACATATTTCGAATCATTGAAAAAATTCGCAGCAAATGCAACTTTACTAAAATCATATAATAGAAAAAAAGAAAAACAACTCAAGTATAAATTTATAAAATAGGCATATTTGGATAAATGTATATAAGTTACATAAAAGACAAAAGACGAGCGAGGGGAAAATGGTTACACCAAAGACAAAATTGTAAGTGATTAATTGAATAGAAGTTGGAAAAGAAGCTCTATTTTGAGAATCATAAACAGTAGTTTAGTTGCAGTAATCAAAAATTATTCTTAAAATCTGCGTTACACTAGCCTAGAAATAGCTAGTTTAGTTGAATATTTCAATCAAAATTATTTTCATGAACATGTAAACTATTCTGTAAGCGTGAATTGCATAAACAGTTAAATATTCAATAAGCATCAAATATTGTGCATTAGTAAATTATAGAAAGAATTGTTCCCGGGTCAAGAGTCGGGGAAACTCATTTATTTTTCATTTCGAGAGAACGTGCTTGTTCTGTTCTTATCTGTTGTCAACTATTACTGTAAACATCTGTATGCTTTCTCAGTTTTAGATATGAATTAAGCAGACAATAATGAAGCGTACTGTTGTAAGATAATAATACATTATGATATATCCTCGCCGTATAATAAACAAACAAAGGCGATGTTGCACCTCCAAGTGGCGGGCGTCACGGTTGGTTTTGTTCAGACAAGATGCTTGACGACGACGACGCTCCTGCATCACAGCTCGAAAACTAGCCCTGTTCATTGATGACTGATCGAAATATTTGCTGAAGGACGAATAAATTTGATAAAAATGAACAAATAATTGTGAAAATGAAGACACAGTCTGTCTTGCAAATGACCAGAATGACAACTTCCTTGTCGAAAGAAAGCAAGGCATCAAAAATGGGATGCATTGCAAAAAATGTCAGTCAGATGTAGGTAAAGTGGTGACGAAAATGAATACTTTGCACTTTATATATAAAAAAAAAAACGCTTAGTAGCACAGCATTTTGGTCTAACTCCATCTCAAGTATTGTAGCTTTCACAGAAGTTTTTTCTCACAATATGCACAAAAAGCATTGTTTTTATAAACATTCGTCGGCGCGGCGGTGTGGCTCAACGGGCTAAGCGTTAGGAATACGCTCGCCACCGCACCTCTAATTACTCTGCGTGGGTTCGCAGGTTCGAATCCCATGCAGGGATGGTTATGTGCGAGAAGATTGCTGGACTCCTCGCAGTCGTTGGGTGGTTCACGTAACCGCTGGTCGGTTACCTAGTCCATGCTTCCGAAAACAAACAATACAGTAAAACTAATCCCATACCCGACTTGGAACTTGGAATGGTAACCGGACGAGAGGCCGTGGTTCGCCATATGAATAAGCCGTCTTATCGGCTTTCCTCTCCCCTGGGATAAATATGTAAATCCTATCCTATCCTATTTTTGGGGCTTCCTTTGGTTAGTAAAAATGTTGTTGTTGCCAAGTGATTGTTGGTAACTAATGGACCAATCAATTTCAAATGTAGCCTACAGTGCATAAATGTGAAAATATTCGTCAAAGGCTACTTTTATTTTTAAATTAAATTTGAATTGTATGGAACCCCATATTCCAACAGAAACGTTACCGCTTCAATTTAATTCATGAAAACACTTTTCCTATTCAGTTAAGCGTGAACGTCTCGGCCATGTGTATGTGCCGTTGACTGAGCGAACTCGGTACCAATATGATAGATTTAGTAAGAATCAAAGTATTTTAAGAACACAATTAAAAGCCAATATAATAGGACATTTGAACTGTATGCCACAAACGAGAAAATATTGTATTCGAATACCATCATTGGTGCATTAATGGAAAAATCAGTGCGTTGATTCATTTCTACCTTATTGTGTGCTGTTTTTTTTCCTAATAATTTGAGGAATAGATGATCGCTAGCTAAAACATACATGTTAGAGAGATTACTCTTAGATAGTTTTGATTGTTATGTAACTAATTTGCGAAACCATTTTTCTTTTCTCATGTTAATATAATGTAAATGATATTTCACATAAATGAATGATCAAACAAATGGATGTCGCATTGGATGAACTACAATATGGATCATATAATTGCTGGACTTAATCATGATTAATACAATGGAACATGAACAAAATAATGCAACGACATCACGATGCATCTTCGGAATCATGAATAGACTGCTATTGAATTCAAATGAACTTGATATTGAAATTAATCTAATTGTTTTTAATGACAAAAAAAACTCGGTACCACGCCTTGCCAGTAACCCGTACCGCTGTACAGTCTCATTAATCAGTTTATAGAATTTGAATCGATCAATGAAATATTGCATATTGGCAATACGAAAAAGACAAATAAAAAGAAAAACAGTGAATGTGAGCAATTTCGCTTCATATTTCGTCGAATCGAATAACTTCGGATGATTCCCAACTTCAGATGGCAGAAGTTGGTATTATTTGACTAAAATGCTTATGAAAGTTATACATAGTTTACTTTATTTCAATTTCTTTACTAAGCACAGAAATAGTGAATATTTAATAAATTTACAACTAAGTAAATATGATTTCACGAGGTCCAAATAAATGCTAGCTACAGCAAAGCAGACTCATCTGATTCCAAGATTGTCTGTCCCTTGATGGGGATGGGGGGCCTAAACTTCAGTTTAGACTCTCAGGGAATCCGTTGTTGTATTATGTGCTAACAGCCCAGAAGAGCAACGTACCGTACCGCTCACAAGAAAGACTCAATGTCTGGGTTGACGGACACGAAATTGCCCCTATATCTGTTTTTGCCTAATTGTTACTCTAATTACTAATTTTTCTTATGAAAAAATAGCTTGCAGATTATACTTATTCGCACTTAAATTGTTTTATAAACTCGGTCATAGCAATAGCATAGAACTCTTTCCAATACCAAAGAGGTGTCTCTACCGGTTCGTAGTCTTGCTTGAATTGAGATCCGACTTATCATCATGAAATATTGAAAGCAATATAATATAATTCGAGATTTTCCAATGTAAATTGCTAATTAGTTTGTGCCACATATCGTGTTTCCATTTGATCGATTACCGCCAATCCGGAAACACCACGATGTTCCACTGCATCGGCAGCAGCACATCGCGCTTGATTAGCATTTAGGTGCAATTTATAGATGAGCGGGTAAGGAACAGACGTGAATTCGACAATATGTGGCCGAGTAGTGGATTTAAGGGAAGCTCTTTCATATTTATGAGATTGTCATTGTTATTATTCATTTGTTTTGGTTTCCACGGTTCAGTACACTCCTGTTCAGTCGCCCCATTACACAAGGGAGTACATAGCGGTGCTTAGTATTCGGAATTGCATAGCGTTGTATACTTGTATTCATGTATGAGAATTTAGTCAAATATGTGATCGCGTTTTTGCATTGAAATACCGGGCATAGTGTCCACTTCCTAATAGCTTAGTAACAGGGTACGCAATCTATTTTGTTATAGGGAACTACTAACAAAAATGAGAAATGTGACTGTATTGGTAAGCGATAGAATTTATTTCGATGATATCGTGAAGCAGTATGAAACCATTTTCAAGTCCACGTTGAATGCTTATGTGAAATTTACAGTTGTTCCAGAAGAGGTATGTTTGAAAGATGAAAAGAAAATTTCAAACCTATTCTCAAATGCAGAAATTATCTTACTATCGGATCAGTCGGTCAGGCGTTGGGCACATTTGATTTCTAACAATACAAAATGGATTCAGTACACTTGGGCTGGCGTCGAAATGCTTTTGCAAAACGACAAATATAGAGAAATTCTCAAAGAACACACCATCACAAGAGCTGGCGGTATATTCGGTCCATCTATGGCAGAATACGTTATAGGAGCGATAGTTGCAATGGAGAAAGGCTTCCCAAGATTTTATAAACAGCAAATGGAAGCTGTGTGGAAATCACCACCCAGGTAAAGAAAGCAATATACTAAGTAAATATATATAACTCGAAAAATAGCTCACAGATCCGCTTAGTTTAAACACGAGTATCAAAAATGCATACATATTCGGCGTTCGTGTCTAAGTAAAATAGTCGTTGTATATTGGTAACTAATGAAGCCGCACTCACATGCATTTAAGATGTTGCGATTTGTAAATTTATCGTTTTCAGTACAAAAATAATGCTACATTGCGATACTTATATATATTGGAAATCTTATTTAACTTACAATGTGCAAAGGTTTTTTCAAGCGGCTTCGCAGCTCATATTACACTTTTTCTCCGCTTTCCAGGTGTCGGAATCTTTCATCTCTGACCATAGGGATTCTGGGCCTTGGGGATATCGGAATGCACGTTGCAAGAGCATGTTCCCATTTTGGTATGACAGTATATGGTTTAAAGAGAACGACTTCGCATTGCGAGAACGTGGAGCGTGTATTTACAATGGACGAATTACCAGAAATATTACGAATATCGGACTATATTTGCAATATATTACCCAGTGCACCGGAAACAAAAAATATTCTTTCTGGGGAAATGCTTCAATTGTGCGCTCAAAGAAAAGCAAAATTTATAAATATTGGTCGAGGGGATGTTGTTGACGAAAACATACTGATCAAAGCAATTGAAAAGGGTTGGATATCTGAAGCGTTTTTAGACGTGTTTATCGATGAGCCACTGGATAAATCGTCCCCTCTCTGGTACATGGAAAATGTTTATATAACACCCCACGCTGCAGCGGAAATTAATTGGCCAAAATTGGTGGCAAGACTGTTTTTCTGCAACTTGCAAAAATATCTCAACAACCAAACACTGGATTATGTTGTTCATTGGCGCGATTTTTAGGAAATGACGAATAGCTGGAGTCTGGATCAAGTGGCAGAACAATTCAAATATCAATAAACAAATCAAAACAGGTCTCTGAAATTGTGGGTACGGTCAGTAAATTCTCAGCGATCGCAAAACAAAATATTATACTATTTTATGCATGCGCGACGAAGTCATCAGCAGACAATGAGAGAACTAACTAACATACACCACGGGTTGGTTCGGAACCTCTTTTCGTTTGCGTGACATTTTCAAGTATGGTGTGGCATGTAGCATAGCTTTCCGTTTCAGACCTACTTCTGATTGAAATTTTAAATTCACAAAAAGGCCCAAAACATGCAAACTTTTATTAGGGAATCACTTGGTGACAATAGCTTATTTTGTTGAGGTAGTGACTTAATTTGTCGATGTTTATCTTCAAATTATAAGTAAAGACTATTCTCTTTTTCGTTCTTCGAATAAAATCGCCCTAACGTATGTAGCCTATACCTTAACTAAGAAACGAATCGATTCGAGATTCTACTGACAAAGGGCATACTTCAGTATCAACTTCTATATAGCACGCTTAGTTGGGTCAAGTTCGATGGCTTGTCTTGTGATGGCCACGCACTCAGGTAATCGTCATGAAATCGCTTAATTTCTCTTCTCGAAAGTCCAATTGCTTATAAATTTATGATCCAAATCTCTGCTAAATTCATATTGTACTATTTATTGTATACTGGGTGATATCCCAGAATGAATATTCACTCGCAATAAATTATTCAGCTTTCACATTTCGTCTCCTGGCTATCAAATCGGGAAGTGCATTGAGGTCCACATTTCCGCCACAAAGAATTACCGCCACTTTATTTGCTTTTATCTCTTTAAATTTGTCCGAAAAAACTGCTCCCATTCCAACTCCAGTTGTTGGTTCTATGACAAGTTTTGCTCTTTCCCATACGGTAAGCATTGCTGATATTATATCACTTTCCGACACCGTGATTACATCGTCTACTAAATCGCGAATTATTGGCCACGCGTTAGGGCCCACATTGACCCGAACTCCATCTGCAACAGTGTCGGGGTCTTTGGGGTTCGGTGTAAGCTCCCCTTTAATTTTTGAGATATAGCAGTCGTTTGCTTCTTCTGGTTCAGCAGCAATAACTTTAATGGATGGGTTTATAGATTTTGCCGCAATTGCTACACCGCTCACCAAGCCGCCTCCCCCAACTGGAGCCACAATTACATCGATGTCAGGCATGTCTTCTAAGATCTCGACAGCCGTAGTCCCCTGACCTGCTATGATGTAGGGATCTTGACTTGGGTTGATGAAGGCTCCATTGTATTTTTCCACAAGCTCTCGTACCTTTTTTTCTCTAGTCGGCTGAGTGGCGTCAACTTTATAAACTGTGGCGCCGTAACCTTTGATGGCCTCAACTTTCGACTCTACGGACCACGCTGGCATGACTACATGACAAGGTAATCCTAAATTTTGCGCAGCCTTTGCCATAGCTTGTCCGTGATTTCCACTGCTTTCTGTAACTACACATTCCGGTTTTTTGGAACTCTTTTGCAATTTGATAGCCGCATTTGTAGCTCCACGAAATTTGAAAGATCCAGTTTTTTGAAAATTTTCTGTTTTTAAATACAGTTTTGTTCCGGCCAAATTGTCCAATGCGGTACAGGTCATCAGAGGCGTTCGGTGAATGAAAGGACGAATGTCTTCTATGGCAGATTTTATATCATCATAAGTGCAACAATATGACTCCATTTTCCATATATATTCGTTATCTATGTTTGAGCTGTTTTTGAAATTGTAATAAAGTTATTCAACGGCTTGTGTTGAAGAAAGGAATAAGCTTTATTCAAGATTCTCAAATTTGTTGGAGTTGAAAAATTTCGTTACACAGAATCGCTGTTGTAATTATCATTCCGTAATACTCGAGTGGATATAATTATTAGTCTCTTCCAGTAATAAACGTAATTTGAAATTGAGTAAGAATTCTAAGATTTTCGTTGCTATAATGCATAAGCTATACCTTATTCTCTGTCAAACTAGTACTAGCTTTATACCCTCGAAAAGTGTCATAAACTTTTGGTCTGAATAACTGCTTTTCGAAATTCATCTCAATAAAAACGTGTTTAACAAACCTCTGTATGGCGACGCGCCTCAACGATCGATGCCCGCAGCAATAATGTAACGAAAAAGAGTGTTTTTAGTTAATTGTCGCTCGCAGTAAAGAGACTTGAGGCTTCCGTCACTAATGCCTGGAAGTCGTGGTTACCAGAACGACAGCTTCGAACCTTAGATACACTTAGGCTATTATATTACTATGGAGCACAGAAGTAATACTATCGCTGTCTACACTTGCGTACGGAATAAAAGGAAGCTATGTTGATTTATAGATATAATTGGTACTGCTTGCACGTTGACACCGGTAAAATAAATACTGAGCAATTGCATTGCAATAGCAGCGAAGCGTGATGTCGGCAAATGACAACACCAATGCAAACACAGATGTCAGCTATTGACTAAGAGAGTAATCCATTCACTCGCGCGCAACAAATTTAAGAGATTTAAAAACACATAGAGTATAGTCAAGTTTAGTTTTTCTATCTGGTTGCCGTACATTTGAACTCACGACAATTGCACCTATGGAAATTTTTTTTGCGGATATTTGAACCCATACTAACCCTAACCCATGGGTTTTAGCACACGCATATAGATTGAACCCACGGATATACACATGGGTTCAAATGTACGGTCACCTTTCCATCTAGTAAAAAATTAATATGCAATGTTCAGACGAATAATATTTAGGCTTACCATACGTCCGGCTTTAGGCGGGACAGTCCCGCTTTTTAGCGTTTTGTCCCGCCGTCCCGATAAGTCAGCTAAAAGTCCCGCTTTTCCAGCATAATACACAAACATGTTCTCGTTTCTGTGTAGCGCAGCGCTACCTACTTACTGAATGTGAATGCGATCGTTACCCGCTAATTCCCATTGATGGCAGATGTATCGCATGTAAAACCAATACTAATTAGTCTAAATTCGAGCTATTTGTACCGGTATCGTTAACGTCAATTCCTTCCTAGTTTTCCAACTGAACCCGATATTTGGACAGAGAATATGCGCATGAAATTTCGATAACAATATGTTCAATAAAGACAGCTTTAAATGTAGGAATGTAGGCCTATGTAGTTACAAAATCACAGCTAAGTGGTCAGGCGTCCCGATTGGAAGACACAAAAATATGGTAACCCTAATAATATTGAATACACATTTTACTGGGGAAGGAAAGTCGCGGGGAACCAAAGCTGGTTATCAAGCAGCGACACCCAAGGTTCAAATATCTGAATAAACATTTGCAAGTTTTAGCAACTTGATTGTTGGAGCACTGTTATTAGTGATAAGAGACGTGGTAGGGACCTCCTGAAGTATGCGCACCAAGATGGCGCATAACCTGAACTCAGGTTGTGTACCAACTTAGGGTTCAGGTTGTGCGACATCTTGGTGCGCATACTTCAGGAGTACCCTTGGTATATAACTTAAGCCATCTAATCAAAAGTTAAACAACCAACATCGTGCAAAACAAATTACATGTGATCAACATTAGGTCTGCTTGCAGGCAATCGGGTATAAAATCATATTCAATTTGACATTGTACTTTGCCATTGGCTATATATCAGTGGTTCTTAAAGTATGGGTCGCGACCCAAACATGGGTCGCGGAAGGTTTAAAAATGGGTCGCGACAAGGTCGTCAATGCAAGGGCAATCTAAGAGGAGAAGAAAGAATTTTCAGCTTTCCCAATGTTTCAATTTAGCTTCTAAACTCTGGTATTATCGCTCGATCTTGCGTTGAGTTGGGCAGCCTTTCCATAGCCCTGTTTAGTTATTATTAGTTAAGTTATGCTAAGACGTTGTTAAAAAGTATAAGTAAGTTATCAAACACTTGTAGATCCTTACCACGGATATGGGCCATGAGACGAAGCCTTGAAAACGCCCAGAAAATGAGTTTCGTAGCGCACATCAAGTAATTAAATAAATTCTTCAGTTTTGTGTGAAAATGAACATACTGAACTCACTACAGCTTGTTCCACAATAACCATAACCATGGACGAAAGGTTCCGACCGTCGTCGGGTGCGGACGTGTCAGCTTGAAAAGACTACGCGTTGTATGTTTCGGTATCTGTAATCTGTATCGCGTAATATCAACATCAGCAAAGCCCATCCACTGGAATTTAAAAAGTTTATTGATAAAAGATTGGATTTAAAGTTAAATGGTGGACGATCTGTTACGGGTAAATTGCGAGGTTTCGATCCTTTTATGAATCTAGTCGTGGACTTCGTTTTAAGTCTCAGTTAGAGGCATGGAAGGGTAAACAGGTGAAATACTAGAATTGAAAACTAAACAAAAAGTAATAGCGCCGAAGATAACAACTTGGTTAGTGGAAACAAATGGAATACAAAAATTAGAAACAATCAACATTCTAAAGGATGGACAACGAAATAATAGGATTCGGATAATAAAGACTACTTTGGCATTGCTGTACGGGCTACCCAAGATTCCAATTTTACATACTTGCTTCGCAAAGAACTAAGAAAAAAGAGATGGACAGGCATTTTGGTTCCATTACATTTGAACCCACGTACATTTGAACCCATGGCAATTGCACCTGTATGCTATTGCACCTATGGAATTTTTTTTTTGTTTTTCGGATAGTTGAACCCACACTAACCCTAACCCATGGGTTTTAGCACCCTCATATAGATTGAACCCGTGGATATACACATGGGTTCAAATGTACGGTCACCGGCATTTTATATGAAACATTGCACCTAGTACACTACAGCACATCACAACGTCGGATTTTATTTACAATGAGGATTGAGGAAATCAACCAAAAGACATTTCGATTTATTTATTACTCTTCCTGACACTGCTTTTATCTAACTCACTAGTTCGCACTTGTTTACGCCAATTTAATAAACACAGCCCGATCATGTCCGTTTCGACGTAAACAGTTTTAAATTAGAACCTACCGCACCTGCATTTTGTTTGTAACACAAGTCAGACGCCCGAACGCTGGAACGATAACACGTTCGTGTTTTTATTCTTTTTTGTAATATGTTTGTGAGTGTAATATCATGGGTGAACAGGCACATGTATTTATACGTGTTTTAAACCCTACTCGGGGTTTTGCCTGTTTTCCCGATTTCCCAATATTCTGTGTGTTTGTTTTATGTGTTCATTATTTGTTATGTGTATGTTTTATCGGGGAAATCAAAATAAAGATTATTATTATTATTTAAAAATAATGAAATATCAAATTTCATTCACGGAAAGAACTGTCTTGAGCTCATTGTTACATCACAATTCTGATATGCCAGTCACGTGTATTACTTTTATGGTATCGGTAACCATGCACGTCGCTTGTCGTTGTGTTGACCGCGTGGAATGTCGTCTTAGTGGATTAAAATAACTAAAAATGGGTGTCTTTTTGGTAATGTAAATTGTAATAGACGACGCAATGAAAAAGCTCGCTTCTCGACATTAGATTATTAAATATCTAGAGAAAATGTGACTTCATCTTGAGGCACCATTTACCGCGAACGAAGCAGTGTGTGCACATTTGATGAGTAAAAAGTTGTATATATTGCGAGAGATACCGAAAGCCAGCTAGGATGTCGTGTTTGCGATGGACAGCGGACGCCTTTTCTGCTACAATTCGCGACAAGGCACTTGTGCGAGCGAGGATATTTGGCACTGGCGGTTATCAAAACTAAGCTCGCAATCGCCTCGATACCCATGACAACTTGCGTATTTCTTTAAGTAAAATGGAGCTGTGTATTGAAGATATAATGAAAAGGAAATTTCAGTTTCATCAATCTCACTGAGTCAATGGACTGTTTCCAATAAATAGTTGTCTGTATTTGAGTCAAACTGTACTAACATTAAAAACACATTTTGCGTTGTTTAGGATTGGGTCGCGAGTATTCATAAAACTCAGATTTGGGTCGCGCTCGAAAAAGTTTAAGAACCACTGCTATATATTAATGACACATCGTTCAGTCTCCAGCCCCACTCATACTGTGTCCATCGCAAATCGTGGTAACTTTGAAACCCAAAAATAATTGCGCTAAGAAAGTGAGACAAAATTCACTTGAAATGAGAATTAGCAAGTCGAGAATATATAACCTACCTATCTATTATAGCAAAGCAAACTTGAGGTCAAATGGGCTGTGACGAGTATGGCGAAGTGGAATAGAGAGAGAGATTTATTATTAATAGGCAATCACGTAGCAGACCTTGTGTTTTTGAACGGAAGTGCTGATTTATGACTACATGACGTAATTAATTAGACAACCGGTTTTCTTTCATTTACATGTATAAGCTTGAAAAATTTCACTTACTCAACTCTGATTAGTACACTTCTAGCGCGATTCAATCACTATTCTCCGTGGAAACTTGGGTGATTCCATGCTTTAATCCTTGATAAAATTCGATGTGTGACAAACTTGTATGTTTGAAACACCTATGTTTCGGAAATGCCCATCCCTAGTTGTGGGATACTTTAGGTACAACCGTAATGCGAAGTCGTTGAGCTTGTTGCGGTGTAGTCAGTCATGTTCATCGCTCAAACCAAAACAAACAAGCAACTTAGGTGCGTGCGTATGGTGCAGCAATACTCGAAGATCCCATATGGCGATGGCTCGTCAAGTGAACGTTGCAGTGGTAGACAGTCTTTACATAAATCACCTTAATCGGTATTATGAATCTATCTTCAAAAAGAGTACACCAAATGTCGAGGTAAATTTCAGAACAATACCTGAAAATGGCGATATGAAAGAAGGCTTTTCAGACGCAGAGGTTATTCTCATGTCTCCACACGGATTGAAAATTTCGTCTGAAATTTCTAAAACAACCAAGTGGATTCAGTGGACATGGGCTGGCGTGGAGCCTTTGATGAATGAAAAAATCCGAAGGGATCTGGAAGGATGCATTGTGACAAGAGCCGCAGGAATATTTGGTTCCCAAATGGCAGAATACGCGATTGGTGCTGTAATAGCAATGGAAAGAAGTTTGCCCACGTGTTACCAACAGCAAATAGAAAAGAAGTGGGAGAGGCCATCTGGGTATGTATTACTTTTTTACAGCATCATAAGAATGCAGCATCACACAACCATGGGCGAGGAATGGATATAATCAGTTGAAAATTTCAAACTCTTACAGAAACGAAATTCCAAACTCTCACAGAAACCAGTAACGAATTTTTTTTTTGTCTCATTGCAACTAGCTGACTAGCCTGGCAGTACAGTACGCACAATGGACAACTATTCCCTACTGAATTTCAACCTGAAATCTGGTAGTACCGTGTTTCCCCGAAAATAAGACTGGGTCTTATTTCAATTTATTTCTGAAAAAAAACACTAGGGCTTATTTTTGGGGGTTGTCTTATATTTTCATTTATAAAAAACAAAATTACAAAGTAAAGATTTTTCAATATACAAAATATGATAATCGATATCCATTCACTTATAAATAACACGTTTTAACTGCAAAACATAAATTATTATTCATTTAAAACGTGTAGAAGATTTCAAGGAAACACGGTAGGTCACAAACAAGCACCAATACATTGCTACATAAACTACACCGCTCACCAAAACCCGTTATATATTTCACTCTGTATTTTCTACTCCACAGGTACCGCAATCTTTCAACATTGTCTATTGGAATACTCGGTCTTGGGGATATCGGACTGCATATAGCTAAAGTTTGTTCCCAACTTGGCATGACAGTATATGGTTTGAAAAAAACAGCTACACAGTGTGAACATGTTGAGAAAGTATTCACATCAAACAAATTAGCTGAACTCATAAAATTATCAGACTACATATGCAATGTTCTACCAAGTACTCCAGAAACGAAGGAAATTATCACTGAACAAATGCTTGAATCTTGTTCGCATAGAAAATCAAGATTCATAAACATAGGACGTGGTGATGTTGTTAACGAGGAAACATTAATTAAGGCACTCAAAAATGGGTGGTTGTCTGGTGCATTTTTGGATGTGTTTGCTGAGGAGCCACTGAAAAAGTCTTCACCTTTATGGTCGATCAAAAATGTTGTTGTAACTCCTCACATCGCAGGGAGAACATATCATGAATCAACAGCAAAGCTATTTTTTCATAATTTGGAAAAATACTTGAAGAATGAGAAATTAGATTACATTGTAGATTTTGATGCAGGATATTAGCCCAAAGGCATAAACAGATGTTTTGATCTGCTTAGAAAAATATTTACTTCCATAGTATTACTTCTATGCATGTGGGTGCGATTATGGTTGTTTGTAGTTAGTCTGAATGCTCTGCTTAATAAAGGGAATAAAAGATTTGCTGCAAATAGGAGATAACAGTATAATGAAATTGACGATTACCGCAAAACTTCCATAGAGATCTTCGATCATATTACAAACCAAGGATTTTCATCCAGTATACACTCATTATATTTAAATATCAACACTCAAAAATATATTTTCTCATACAGGTAGCAGTAATTAGGATCAGAAGTATATGAAGAAATAATCAATAGTATTGCGCATCAAAGATAATGTACGTGTCAGGGGTCTCCATCATCCTTTTTATCTTGTGAAAGTTTAGATGACATATCCTGCACTGCAGAAGTGATCTTGCTTACAATTTCACCAGATTTCGGTATCTTGTAATTCTGTGCAACGTATACTCCACTGAGTAATCCAATACCAAATAAACCGATAACCCTAATAATCGTCATTAGGCTAGTGAAATGATATCTGTCAATAAAAATTTGAGCTCATGAAAAATATAATAATATAGATATAAATTATTTATTATACAAGAATTCGTATTGATGTGAATCCTTTGAAGAATAATGGCTTGCATTAGGACAAAATATTGCTGGGCACAGTCAATAATAGAAAAAAATTAAATTCAAGTTATATCAGTATCAATGAATATTATCAAATCAAATAGGTCATGCGTCTGTAATTTCAACAAATAATTATTAAAAAAAGGGTAGTGGCTAGTGAGAAAGAATAGTCATGAACAAACAGTTTGACATATACATAAGTATAAAAAATGATAAATCTGTTAATTGCATATAGTCACATTTCAGTAAAGCCTTTATCTAACTTTGGGAAGCATTTAGTATATTATACATTGCATGAGTCATATGCTCAATTATCATAAGCGTTGGTCAAGTGCAAACTCAACTCTTCAATTTGACCAAGACACTTGAAACATCAGTGAAGAGGAAGGATAAAAAAAATAGAAAAAGTGGAATGAGTGATTGAATAGAAATTATTGTATTTACAGGTATTCTAAAAATAATCAGAATATATTGAAATTTAATAAGAACGCACAATGACCTATAACAAAAATTATATGTTTATAGAAGTTAATATACTTATTGGGGTACTCCATAGTGTGTGTACCTGGTTCGGCCATGATTTTATTCAGATTTTCCTTAGTTATATTAGTTCAGAGATTGTCTTTGTTAGCCAAGTGAATATACCTCCTGCCCATAGGTTACAGTCCATTTACAAAACTTGATGTAAAGTAGGCGAACAAAATTAGTTACCTCCATATTGGTACACATACTTCTGGAGGTCCCTTATTAGTAAATTGTTCAACAGTGATTTGTTTTATGAAGAATCAAGTAAAATAAAAAGTGAACACTGGTTTCAAATGAACCAGCCACCTTGCCAGTATGCAACAGCCTCCAAATTCCATGTGCACAATGAAATAAGTCATATTTAGAATATTTCACAACAATATCTTTATAAATCGCAGAGCTGCTTTTTGATTTATACCTACTACAAAAACATTGTTCAAATGCTGAAGTGCAGAATTCCTTATCAAGTCGATTCTTGCAAATTCTCATTAATTCAAGATAGGTGAATGGCTGAGTTACTTCATACGGCAGCATTGCAGGGAACTCGATAACCAACTTGCTTAATTCTGCTGATGATTGAACTCTTTCATTCATCACAATTTTTTTTGAGATATATGATATCAGATCATAAGTTGCTTTCTGTACAGATTCACTACGCCTCACACTCGTGGGGCAAATAGAAATGTTCAAACAAAGTTCACGCATCACGGTGCAGCTTAAAGAGGAATCACTAATTTCAAGCAGTGTGCATGTTAATACACTCAGCGCTTGCTGATAATACAGAACTGCCTGCTTCGATAATGGACAGCCAGTATTGAAAGCTATAATACCATTCTTCAAGTGGCTGATCTTTTCATTACGTGTGGGTGACGTCTGACTTAATATACAGTGAGCTACACCCAAATTGTGAAAGACAGATTTATCAACCAAAATTTTTCTAAATCCAGAATCATTCACATTTTTAACACTTGATATGTTTCTCTTTGCAGCATCAATACAGTTTTCATATTTGTTCAGAAGTAAATAAGCTTCTGTAACTTTCTTACCCATTCTCATTAAAAACTTTTGGTATGGATGTTCAGCTCTCACATCAACTTCTCTTGTAAGAGAATCAAATAATTCATATGTTTGACAAAAGTCTTCATGCATGCCATTATCATATTGAACATCTAAAATTCGATACAAAGCTGAAATCGCATTTGTCTCATTTGAAAAACCAGGACTGGTCTTAATTTGATTATAAAGATTACGCAATGCTGCCTTGGCAGCCTCAGTTTGATTCATTCCAAATTCCGCTTTGATCCAGCTGGTGATATATTTCCAGCGCAGATCTACATTACCAGTTTGTAGATTTTTGAAAAAGTTGCTACAGATTTGTGACGCCTCTGCATAACGGCCTTGTTTCAGCAGAACCAAAACCATTCCATGGTCAAGGAACTGTTTTGTTTGGAGCACATGAATGGGTGGCGGACATGGATGCCAGTTATTGAATCTGAATATCCCTTCTTTGCAAAACATGATAGCACGATCTTCATAGCCGAACTGCATACACAGTTCTGCAATCACAGGAAAAAAATAAAATTTCCACTCAAGTTTAATTTTGTCCATTTGAATGACTTTACCAAGTCGTTTCAGACACAAACCAGTATCAGAAAATCTACTATTCGAGCTTGTATACTTGTAAAGATAACCACCAACAATACGTAAAAGACTGGCAACATCATTATCGTCAATAGTTTCAAATTTTGTTTCTAGTAAATCCATAGCGATATCAATAGCCTCATCATACTGTTGAAACATGTATAAAATGCTGGCTTTGACGACGTCTCTTTTTAGAAAGCCATATATTAGGTTGGAGAGTTGCTCACCCCAAGGAAAATGTCCAGTCATAAAAGGTTTACCAAAACAGCAATATGCAAGTAATCTTATTTTTTCTAAAATAATATAAAACGCATATAGATTCTTAAACCCAATGGTCTTGAGAGTGCGTTTGAATTCACCTTTATATCTCTGATCTCCCCCTTTTACATAATCCTTGATACGTAAATCAAAGGTCAGAGCCAATGCTGCATCAATATCTACTGCAAAATTTTCCTTTATCACTCCGAATTTCAATAGATTCTGGACAATATCAAAGCTAGTTACAGCCTCAATTTTTATTGAGCGTGCAATGGACGAAAGTAGAACAGTAATTGGGCGATACATTGTTGCTTTAGTGTTGAAATATGATGAAACAGAAGGAGACCACATCTTCACCGAATCCAATGGATTAAAATGAATCAGTTCGCCTTGAGAACCTGCTAGACTGCGTAAGTTCTCAAATTTAATTGTAGTTTCAACCCTATGTTTGAATGTATCGAATATATTTTGGTTTCCATAAACAAAACAAGTTCTTGTAAGAACTTCATTTACGTAATATCCATTCTGGCTTCTGCTTTCGAGATTCACGAGTCTGGTCATTTCACTAATGGGTTGAATAAGCTCAAGAGGAAATCTCTTTCGCTCAGTTGGCTCAACACGACCTAAAGGATTATTACAAGAATGTGGTACTAACCCATCAAATGCAATTCCACATGGGGTATATGTATCATAAAACCAATTCAGTTTTTTGTTCTCCGAATAGAGATCATTTAAAGATTTTACTCCCATGCTCCTGATGAAGGTTTCACCAAAATTAATTATAATTATTTGAAAGCAAACAGCATACCAGCGAAAATATTCTTTTATGGAGATATAATCTGGTCTTTTTTGCACCCCTTCCTGAAGTATAATCACATGTTCGAAGTCAGAGTATGGGGTTATCTCTTCACGAGCTAAAGATCCCAAACCGACAGTAGCAAATTTACAAGGGGGTTCACCCATTACATCCACACACTTTTTAGATATTCTGGTCATGAGGTTGGTAAAGGCATTCGTCAAATCTTTATTCATCTTTTTCACATGGGATGACTTATTTCTGCTCTCTATATCAAATTCATATTCAGATCTTTCAGGGTATTTCACAGTATCTGAGATTAATTCTCTATCACCCGACAACATGGTTTTACAATCTTCTCTCATCTCTATGACACTTTCAAAAAATATTTTTGATTCCTCTAGCAAATTTGTTTCGGGTTTCACGGCTGAGGCAGACTTCAGTATATCAAAACCCAGAAGTTCCAAAAATTTCTCTACCTCTGACTCTCCGTCTTGTTTATTTTTCAAATGAAAGCGAACTTTAGCACCGTTAAGTAGAGCAGCACAGCGGAGAAAGGTTAACTTTTGTAGCATACCTGTAGCATTTTTAGCTTTTACCATGTATAACTGACCCATTTCCAACAAAATATGCGCTGTTTCCAGCAATTTGCTCTCTTTTTCCTTGCCGAATATTGTGCAGCATTCACGTAGTTTGTCTGCCATGACATGCTCCTCTGGCCAGATAGTATCTTGCACAAGTTCATGATCTGAACATTTAACATATTTGTTTTATGTGTAGAAATAACATATTCTGCATAAGTTTTGGGTGGTTCGGTTAATATTAGTTACCAAAAGGCACATTGAGGCGGGATCCTCATAAAGTGATTAATTCAAAAGAATAAATATATTCTAAATGTTCAATATACAAATTAAAGGGAAATTTGAGATAGGTTAAAAAAACTTTCAATTGGCATTCATTAAAATATAGTGCATATTACAGTATTATGAACCACCCTACAGCTGTACTGATGAGTTCAGAAATCCTCGCGCACATAATTATCCCCCATGGGATTTAAACTGGCAATTATCAGAAGTGTGATACCGTTACCGGTACCAATGATAGATGGATTAGGTTAAAAAATTAAAAGACTGAAACATAGGGCATGAAAGTACTACCGTGCATGACAGCATGGGTATTACATTTGACATAGACAGACATGATACAGGAATATAATACCGTACCTGTACGGAAGGCTATAAAGATACATACCTGCATACCGGTACCGTACCGTACCGTACGGTCTGACGGTGGATGAAAACTCCAAATACAGAAATATGATACCGGTACGGTTACCGGTACTGTATCGGTAAGCCTACTCTACTGTTTGATAAGCGCCTTTCAAACTTGGGAGCAGTACCGGTACCGGTACCAGAAAGGGGTCTCGTGTAGTTTCTTACCTAACATACGGTACTTCTAATGGGCGTAGCATGACAATTTTTTCACGTATCAATCCTAACCCCCGCCTGACTACACCATCAAAAAATTACGTCATTACGACGTCACAGTGACGTAATAGAGCCCTTCAAACTATACGAACTGCCATCCAAGACGAGCAAACGAGCACCCGAAATCGAGACGAATAAACATACATACATAGATAAATATTCATCTCACCTGCCAGAGAGTTGCCCGGATCCACCACGGGTACCTTGTCCATGTTCTATTTCTCGTATCCAGTCACTGCAGTACCGGTACCAAAATTCTGAACCGCTGACCATAGCCACAGTCCGGTAGTGGGCAGCGGTAATTGGCAATGTCCATTGATTGTAGATAATGAAATACCATGGCGGACGAGGGCGCTAGATAGGATAGGATTTACATATTTATCCCGGGGGAGAGGAAAGCCGATAAGACGGCTTATCTATATGGCAAACCACGGCCTCTCGTCCGGTTACCATTCCAAGTCGGGTATGGGATTAGTTATATTGTTTGTTTTCGGATGCATAGACTTGGTGGTAGAGGAAGCCGTAACCGACCAGCGGTTACGTGAACCACCCAACGACGGCAAGGAGTCCAGCAATCCTCTCGCACATAACCATCCCTGCATGGGATTCGAACCTGCGAACCCACGCAGAGTAATTAGAGGTGCGGTGGCGAGCGTATTCCTAACGCTTAGCCCGTTGAGCCTGTTGAGCCGCTTAGCCCGTTGAGCCGCTTTTGATAACCCTGTGAAGTATATTTGCGGCAAAGTTTTCTTTTCAACAGTAAAAAAAATCAATCATAAAATATACAAAAAAAATATATTCACATAGTTTTACTGGGGAAGGGAAACCTCAGGGAGCCACAGCTGGTTATCAAGCATTGACATCCAAATTACAAATATCTGATAATCGGCCTAGCCTAATCTGTGGAAAACACGAATATACAAAATTTGGCAACACCTATGAAAACGGTATACTCGGTACAATGAAGTTGTCCAAAGTCAAGATTCAGCTGATTTGTCAAAATTATTTTTGCAGTATGACTCATAGAAGAGAAGTAAGTACACAACCGGAGAGGCGCAGTTCTTACCACTTCATGGCAGCTCCTGCCACGAACGAACCGCGGCAGCTCTTGCCATGGTTTTATAGCGCTATTCAGTATTCAGTAATCAGTATTAACGGTATATTCACAAATTAATGTACCAGATTTTAATTGATCATGTGGAATTATATCTACTTAAACCCTAACCCTAACCCCAAATCAATCAAAACTGTATCCATAAGAAAAACGTTCCAACTTACCCAATATTTGTCACCATAATAGACAGCCCTGTCTTTACGGCCCACCTGCCGCGGTTACGGCAGCAAAATTTTACCTGCCATTGGTTTTCAATTTGCTGCCGCGGTAACGGCAGCTCGACATTGGTTTGTGGCAGCTAAAAAGTCAGTTGCCATGAGTTTGGCCGTAGCGGCCATGGTATGAAAATACCGCCATGGTTTTGCGGCAGCTGCAGATGCCACAGAATACTTAAAACTGCACTTGCAACCGGACTTTACTGGAACAAGAGAGCGATGCTCAAAGCGATGCATGCTTCCACGTGTCAATGATGCCAAAACTGCACCATAGATTGAAATACAATACTGAATTGTTCCAGTCGAGAACTTCCAGAAAAAGGCGAATTTTTAAAATCTCCAGAACAATAAAATAAACCGCTATAATAATTTATTTCAATATCATCCCAATATTTCAACTACTGCATCTGTATTGAAAAGGCATATCTAGACAAAAAATGACTTTTTAGGCTACACATAACATGGAAGTCAGTCACTAGTCACAGTCGGCTTTAATCCACTGGTTGTGGTACTGTTTTGGGTGAAAGAATGAAATCCTCCTTTTAAAGCTATTAGCCCAGTCTCACAAATTATCATCCTGAACATTTTTGGTGACACGCTATATCAGAGTTCAGTTGTAGTGAAGCTGTGGTTCTTTCATAAGTTTACTAAAGCATGTCCAATTCCTAATCTTAAATTCAACTAACTTACGTTTTGACAGGTAAGAAAATTAGTGTCTGACCGCCGGTGACCGAAGTAATAACTTTTTTAATAGAAGGCTCAACAACTCGCGATTTTCTGCTATTGTCGAAATATTATACAGTGCACGACAAGCACAATAATACAAATACAAAAATTAAATAAATAAATCACCTATAACGGTAATGGTATATATATCAAAAATGTAAAGGGAGTATTACACTCGGTTTGCTTACTCACATAGCAATTATAAGGTAGCCCAGAAGAAATAAATTCCAGAATAACAGGGATGAATAAATAAAATGAATCAATTGCTCACAACAGAACATAATAATTTTATTAAGAATTTAAACAGTAACGCACTGAAAGGAATTTGCTTGCATACATAGAAATACTGTGTATTTCTAAACTTAAATATCGAGAATATTCTTTCTTGGATCACTTATGACAGCAAATTTTGACCATCATACGATTAAAAATGTATATATCCAAATATTTGTGTGTGGTTTCTTCAAATATTGAATTCCATACTTCTTCTTGAGTCGTTCAAATATTTTTCGACCATGATTGTAAACTTCATAATCATCTAGAAAAATAGAACTCTACAATTTATCAATTGAGGTTTTATTGAGAATATATTTCCTCTTAGTGACTGTCTTCTTTTGGCATTTTTTACCATATTGCTTATAATATTTTATTGCTCCTGTGAAATAATTTGGAATCATTTTTTCAAATAACTCTAATGTATTTTCAAATTCGTTCGTTCGTTCAATTGCTGAGTAATTTACATCAAAGTGCTTTTTTGGCAATTCCACCCTACGGTGTAATACATTCATGCATATATCATCATTCACCAAACCCACAGAAAAATAGACCGGTGTAAAATCAAACGTACTCCTTGCAGGACCACTGAGCGTCATGTTCTGCAGCACATAGTGGTAAGCCATTATTTTTTTTCCGCCGGCATCTTCATATTTTAAGTAATTGTACTGTGAAGAAAATCGTTGTATTGGGTCGCGTATCGTATTGATATAAATTGGTTGTTCAAGACCATACTTTATGAAATTTTCTCCATTTCAGATTCCACTTCTGTGCTGTTCGGATGATCATGTAGCCTACATAGTCTTTTGAGCTGGAATAGTTGAATTTATTTACTATTCTTAAAGCCCTGACTATTCTAAGCAAAGATATACTTCCACATTTTCCCATTATAGAACACGATTGTCGAATCGGATACTGGTAATTCCGATTTCGATGATAAGCCGTCATTGGAATTGTTTTCAGTGGGTTCCTTCAACGATTGATATGGGTTTCAAAGTTGGCTCCAGAATTGATATATTTTTAATATTCCGATAAACAAATGATTGGTGCTCTTATATTATATAATTATTCACTAAAATTTTGCTTGCGCGTTTTAAACTTAGATATAGTTTTTTTTCTGACATCTTTATCATGCTTTATTTTTATAATTCATGTATCGTTCGTATGCTGATTATAGAGTTGAAAAAAACTTACTTACTATTGATGACGGCCGGTTTCGATGCCATTCACTATATTCAATGTTACCCGTATTTAATTCCACGCCATGAATAAGCATTTGAATTGATTAGTCATTCTATGTGTGTGTGTGATTTTCAGATGAGATTCGCGTTTTGTAGTGTAATTCGGTTATTCATTGACATAATGTTGAAAAAATAGGATTATCGGTAATTCTGTAATTGTGCCTACTTCTTTGTTTGTACTTAGTAGATTGCGGATATTTTTTCAAATATTTACTTCAGAAGTGCCGAATAGGGTTTACTCAACATCTGAGAATACTGGAATAAGACATCTGTCAAGAAGGGATTTATTTATCACAGTATTACTAACCTGTTGCTGAAATGGCCGCTTCTATGGAGCTTGAACGAGCACAAGCTTTAACCTTTCCAGATCATAAAAGTGCCATAAATGCATATAAGGACATTGGTAAGTAATCTGACATGCTCAATTAAAGTATACCGGTATTTTATCCATAATGTAATACAGGAATATAAGATAACCGTAAAATTTCATACCGGTATTCGCAAGTTGAGCTGCATCTCTGCATGCAATTGGTCTCGAAACCAAACATGTCGTACTGTACAAAATGATCTCTCAATTTTCTGTATTTTCATGTTATCTCCTGATCTCTAATTCATCTTTTTATAAATAGTGGTAGTCTATAACCAACTTTACCGTTTTCTTACATTGTAAACTAATTGGTCAGATGAGGCGATGAACTTCTGCAGTAACCAGCTTCCCGACTTTCCTCTCCCCCTGAATAAATATGTAAATAATATCTTATTTCAGTGAAAAGAGATGTACAAAGCACAGATGAAGAAGGTATAAAGTTGAAAGAACAAAGTATTCTAGAATTAGGATCACTTTTACAGAAAGAGGTGATTTACTATTTTTTCAATTTTTAATCTAATTATAGTCTAAGTTTTATTTTATTCGCATGTCATCACATTTTTGATTACCTATCGTGGGTTCGCAGGTTTGAATTCCGAGGGTGAAAGGGGGTTGCTGAACATCTCAACCATCGTTAGGTAGTTTCTGTAATCTCTGGTCAGTTACGGCTACTTCCACCGCCAAGATCATGCATCTGAAATGAACAACTGGTTGACTATGACTGGGAACTGGACAAGAGCCTGTGGCTAGCCATATGATTAAGCCATCTTATTGACTTTCCTTTTCCCGAAATAAATACTGAAATATGAAACTCCTATTATTGTGTGATTATCATGTTATCAATCATTTCTTTGTAAAGGAATAAGCTATTTTACTTTCCCTTACTATGGTTGAAACAGTAATTGTTTAAACAGTTAGCTTTTTGTCATTATTTCCAAGAAAATTTATCAATTGTTTTATTTAATATCAAAATATTAATTATATTAATGTTAGAAGTCTCAATTTAAGAAAACAAAAAAAACTTTGACACAATGTATTTAACAAAGAAATCTATTTTCAGGGCCATGCAGAAGAATTAGGATGGCTTGTCAAAGGAGTCCGTCCATTTTTAAAGTCTATAAGCAAAGCAAAAGCAGCAAAGCTTGTTCGAACTCTTGTCGACCTGTTTTTGGACATGGAAGCCGGCACTGGATTAGAGGTAATATATTTTAAAAATTTAAAAAAATTTTTTTCACGGGATGCCCAATACATATTTCGCTCGGAACAAGGCCCGGTACAAGCATCTGCTGATGTCTGTTGATATGTAAGGACTTGCTCTTTTAGAAGGACTTCTTGGATTTTATTACACCCTGCGTGAGGGGATGGGCATGGGATTTGAACCCGAGCTTGCAATGCCAACACTGGCCCTCCTGTATTGAAGGTTGCACACCCCTGCACTAGGCCATTATGGTTGATGCAATGAACCAATACTCTTTCTTCCTATTATTTTATTACTTTGAAATTTTAAAATTTTAAGGTGCAATTATGTAAAGAATGCATTGAGTGGGCAAAAGAAGAGAAGAGGACATTTTTAAGACAAGCACTCGAAGCAAGATTGGTAGCTTTATATTTTGACACCGAGCAATATGAGGATGCCTTGAAATTAGGTGAATTGGATTTATTGGTGTATTTGTAACTCTAGTTGGAAGTGGCATTTATGAATGAGCTGCTACTACAATATTTCTTGCCAAATCACCCATCAAAAACTACCTGATAAAATTCATTTTTTTATTGCGATCCATACCTAATTCGGTTTTGATCAAGAATGCTCAAAATGATTTAAATATATTATATATAGGAAATTCGGTACTTCCGAAGTATGTATACCAGGTTAGGGTCAGGCCATATTTAATTCCGGTATTCCTTATTTTAGTTCTATTATGAGTTCAGGGACTGTCTTGTCTCAGCCAAGTGAATATCCCCTTTCCCATAGGTTTCAGTCCCTTTACACAACTTGATGTAGAATGGGCGAACAAAATTTGTTACCTCCATATTGGTACACATACTTCTGGAGCGATTGTAAATTCTTGATCTTCTTGATCTAAAAATTTGTCATGAGATTAGACAGCCAGACAAAATGAGCTTCATTCTGATTCTGGTAGTTTTCGGAAATAGATAACCAAAACAGGTTTATTTTAGCTTTTTTACATAAAAAGTGCTTTGTTCATTTGCTCTTGTTGCATTTTTTTAAAAATGAAGCCAGTTATGGATGAATTCTAGTGAAGCTATAACTTGTGCTTGAGTTATTGTTACGGTAATAACATGCTATAACTGTTTATTAATAGGATCGATTCTACTTCGAGAACTAAAGAAATTGGATGATAAACAACTCTTGGTGGAAGTACAACTAACAGGTGTGTTTTAGATTCAGAAAACAATACTTTTATTCTGAAACAAAACAGTTACTGTTAGATTTATGTGAATAATACTTGTTAATATAATGTTAATATGCTCTTGTAGAGTCGAGAACATACCATGCTCTTGGAAATCTCCAGAAAGCCAGAGCCGCTCTCACATCTGCCCGCACAACTGCAAATTCCATTTATTGTCCACCTAAAATGCAAGCAGCCCTCGACCTTCAATCTGGTAAGTTTTTAAATGCGAATAGTAAATGGAGTTTATTTTAGAATACAAATTTCGCCTTTAAGTGTAATGGAAGGGAACTAAAACATTATTTAATAGAGCAACAAAATGTGAAAGCCTTTACCAAGTCCAGAGCTTGTACTAGACCATTCACTAACGCTCATACATTAGGCCAATGAGGTTAATACTATAAGACTATGCTGATAGAAGTAGGTGTGATAGCCTAGCGATCGAAGCGTTAGACCTAATTACACATCTTGCGTTCGAATCCCATGTTTGCCCCCTCACCCAGAGTGTAACAAATTGGGTAGACCATGCTGAACTGAGAAGCGCAAATAAGCGCTCAATAATTAGGCATGGGTGTCCTTGGTTGTATACAGTTATTCAATAAGTGTAGCCAGCATTAAATCATTGATATACATTTATATCAAGGTATTTTACATGCTGCAAGTGAAAAAGATTGGAAAACAGCGTATTCATATTTCTACGAAGCATTTGAAGGATACGACTCTATTGAGAGCAAACGTGCAGTGTCAGCTTTAAAATACATGCTTCTTTGCAAGATAATGCTAAAAAGGTACAATTGTATTGAAATTAATGAAAACGTTTATACGGGTACGGAAGCGCCTATACCTTACTAATATATATTGTGTTTCATTTCAGCCCTGAAGATGTACAATCGATCATCAGTGGGAAATTGGCATTGAAATATGCAGGAAGAGAGGTGAGTGGAATTTTATTTTTTCAAAGGAGTCATTTATTCGACTTGAGTCATCTTAACGAAATGACTCAAGACTCATACTCAACTAACTGTCAATGAGACTCAACTCAGTTATTGACTCGATTTGAGATTTAGGGACTCCTACCCATCAGTGCGATGATCACCATTATGATGATTTGCCTGAAATTGCAAATGCAGTCCATAGACTCCTAAAAATCCTTTGGTGGATCCCCAACGACCATGCCCCCAGGGTCGAATCGTTGTAAATATTTAAATCTTAGTTGAGTTATTACACACACTTTCGAATCAAATATAATATTTCAATATCATATTCTATTAGAAATTGATGAATGAACATTAACATAAAACTTCTGATTTGTGATTGAATAATGATTATTTTATTACAGATTGACGCCATGAAAAGCATTGCAAAATCGAGTCATGACCGATCCATCTCAGGATTGAAAGCTGTAAGTTTGATATATTGGCAATAGCTTATGTATGCTGTACTCATTTTTATAATCAAAACATTTCAATGAGCTGATTCACCACAAAACATTGCTTCCAACAACCTTTGATTGTGAGTCCTCACTGATTCGAAAGGACAACTTTTTTTTCTACAATTTGTGATTTAACCATTTTACCCCAGTTTTGGGGTGATTTTCATATCTCACATTTTTTGCCTGAACAAGGCCCTGCATAAGCAGTCATCACAAGCTAGTGGTAGAAGCAAATCGCGCTTTTGTGCAGTTCATGAAGTTCAAATTATGTAAAATTAAAAACTCAACTAAACAATTATGTTATACTGCAGCAAATACAAAGCTAAATTTCTCTCCAAGAACTGCAAAATTCCTCGGGAGTAAGAGGAATTTCTCCCCGGTTATGAGACGTTGCGCTAGGCCGTTGCATCTATTCTACCATTCTGCTCTGTAATTTACATGTATGTCAATTTCGGTAAAAACTTGCTGCCAAATTGTAGTCAGTAAAATTTCACATAATCTATGCAACAGTGGCAAATTTAGCAAGGAAAATTAAATTGACTCTTTCGTTTTGCAGTCTCTTAATGATTATGAAAAAGAGTTGAAAGCCGATCCAATAATCTGTGCTCATCTTGATAAATTATACGATCATTTGCTGGAACAAAATCTTCTCAGAATTATCGAGCCTTTCTCTAGAGTGCAGGTATGCTGGAGTATTACTTATATTATACTGGTATATCAATCTATTATATGAAAATGTTTATTCAGATTTGGTCTCGTTATCATTTGTGACTAGTGACCTTCCAACGCTGCGTGAGATCAGCTCTCTTCCGTCATTATTGTCTTTGCGCTGGTGGGAAGATGTAGTAAAATATAAATAATTGGTATATTTTGGCAGTCGATGAATATTTAGATTTTGACTTGTTTTTAGAGATGGGCCGAGATTCGGATTTGAGTCGAATCCACGCATTATTCAGACTCGGATTCGATTTCACGTCCACGTCATTTTTACCGAGTCCTCAGTTCATTTCGTTTTTATCAATTGACGCCTTCGTTGTTTTTCGTCGTTTCCATTGTGACATCGCGGATTCGGAGAATTTGATTCGAGTCCATGACCTATTACTCGGATTCGTTGAATCCGTGTAATACTGGACTCGTCCCAATCCTACTTGTTTTATAGGTGACCCTGCTCGATAACCATGACTGGTTAATCGCGTCTCCCTTCACGCAAAAACACATTATTTTTTATCCTATCTCACTGTTTGTATACTTCCGTATTTTTGGTATGTGAATACTGACTGACTGACTGTTTTCAGGTTGCACACATAGCAAGCATCATAAACATCACACTGGTAAGTTTCTCACATAAATGAGTTTTTTACAAATGATGGTACATCTTTATTTAATCATAATGCAGACTGATACATTCTGCAGTCAAGCTATGATAAAAATAGCATTTATTGTAAAATTTTAATTCATGAATCATATTATTCTATTTTTTTTACACAAATTATTACTTTTACAGAGCATAGTGGAAAAGAAATTATCACAAATGATTTTGGATAAAAAGTTTCATGGTAAACAATTTAGGTTTTTCTGAGTTTGGCACAAATGTAACCTTTCATTACACTTAAGTTTTAAAACAAGCGTATTACCAGTAACTTGGTCTGAAAATGTCTCACCTCTGTAAGACAAAATACTACAAAAATAGATTTGTTCTAGCGTATAGCAAAATGAATTACATAGAATAGTCTTCTGTAGTGCTACAGCACTTTAGCATTATGTGTGTGCTGATGAAACTTGTTATTATTAATACTGCCAAGGACCAGTCCAGTTCAGTTACCAGTCTAGATCAAATGAAAGAATACATCAAACAGTTTATTGTTGCATGCTGTATACTACCAGAAGTTGTGTGAAATATTGTGTAAATCCAATAATACCTTTTGCCTAACCATGCACTGCAATTTTGTGCAGAATATCACAACCTCAAACTGAGCCAGTGTGTTGAAATACACTTCCTATACTTATTGCCTCGTTATTGAGCGCTATTCAAAATGTGGGGCCCAATTTGAGTAGAGGTCGGGATAGTAACGAAAAATTAGGAAAAAGATTTTTTAGTAAAAAACGAATTCTTCATTACAATTCATCACTTTTCATAATCAGAATTAAAGTAACTTCCACAAATATTGCCTGTAGTTAGGTCATGCAATTACTGTCTTGTGTCATTGAAACTATGTTTTCTTTGTAGGCAATGCTCCAGTGCATGCCCATATAGTTTGCAGTGGCTTAAGGCCAGTCCTACTTATCGCAGAACCGATTTATGTATACATTTTGAAAACATTTAATTTTCTGGTATCCATGTTTTTATTTTACAATTTTCATACAAAATCCAATTTTTAATAGGTATCCTGTCACAAGGCGAAGGTGTCCTGATTCTTTTTGACGAACCAGTTGTCGACAAAACTTATGAAACCTCGCTGGAAGTGATAAGCGGAATGTCACTCGTCGTAGATAGTCTCTATCAAAAAGCAAAAAAGCTTACATAAAGAAGAAATGCATAAATATTACAGAACTTTAGAAGTCCTCTGCAACTATTCCTTCCTTTTATTTTGAACTTTGAATATTAAGTCAAAAATTCAGTACATTTAAGGATTACCTGAATTGTAATGTAACATCAGCAATCTGCCAATTTTGTAGAAATGAAGAAACATTCTTGCAACCAATTATTTTCTATTTTTACAATTTTGGTGCGTTTCATTTCGCTAGTTGAAATTGCTGCTTTCACATTAATATAGTGGGCAAGTAACAAATCTCATAGCCAAGTCTTAGGAATAACGTATAAGTTCTCTTAAAAAAGTTCATAAATTAAGCAATGGAACATTGTTTATACCATCGCTATACTTTATTATGGTTCACCTAAGTATCGCGATTTTGTAAATAACCTTCAAACAAACAAAAAAGTTCTTTTTGTAAAAAAATTCCTTTGTGCTACCGTATTTCTGATTTTAAACGTAGTTTAAGATGTTCTCAATGCTATCAAGTTCGATCCAAATGTACAGACTGGTTGTCCTGAAATTTGTTTCATACACGAAGGTCACTAGACAAGCGTATTGTATGATGCCATGCTAATAAAGGATTTTTCAAATATAATTGTGATGTATGTTGGCTGATTGGAGTAGGCGTGGCTAAATAAATAGGTCTTCTTTCGGTGCTCCTGAAGTATGCGCACCAAGATGTCGCATAACCTGAACCCTAACCTGGTACACAACCTTAGTTCAGGTTGTGCGCCATCTTGGTGATATACAAGCTTGGACCACCCAGCTTGTATTTGTCTGATTCATAGAAGTACAATACTACTCTTCCTGCCTGTTTTTAGAGCACTAATTTTGGTTAGGAAAGGTTGTTTTAAATGCCAATTCCTAAAAGCATTTTAGGTTTGCAAGTATTTTCCCTCACCGTGGCCTAATATCCTGGAGAACTGACCTATTCAGTTCAATGTAAACATGACCACCATGCCTGTATTTATCGGAGCTCTAGAGCCCAAAAGTATGAATTTCTGATCTTTAATATACATTCAAAAATTTCGGTATTCTCGTAGTATGTGAACCAAGATGGCGGACACCAGAACGTAGTATGTGTACCAGGTTAGGCCATAATTTCATTCAAATTTTCCTAATTTGAGTTCTGTTACAAGTTCGGGAACCAGCCAAGTGACTCCCGTAGTAAATGTACCTGAAGTTATGACCTAACCTGGTACACATACTAAGTTCCGGTGTCCGCCAAGCAGGCTACCAAATTTCCTACAAAAACTATGAATAACTGTGTCGTCCAAACATTCCTACAATCGTCTGTTAAAAAAGATTTGCATACGACAAAGTTTTCCATAAGGAGTTGGGGTCAGATTCTCCAGGCGAGAAGCCGCTGTCTGTATGAACAATTTTTAAACCCGGGTCTGAAGTCTATTAGATACCCAAGACTACACAGCCCCATCCTTGTCTTGAAATAGGTGAAGTTCTATCAATTTATCTCCTTGACGCTAGTTTTATGAATTGTGCGCTGCATGGCGAAGAAGATCATTTATGGTCTTCACTTCGGAAATGTTATGTCCCCTATGCATACCACGCTGACAAGCGTAACGATCAAGTTCCCGCTAGTGTACAAATACGATTTTACAACAAAAAATTCAATCCTTCACTATATTAAGGAAATGGAACAACAAGAACTAAGTTCGTGAAATAGTACATACTAGAAAATCAAACAGTAAAACAAAATATTACATTAATAATCACAGAAAATTATTAATTAATGCTAATACAATGTATCTAGGATAAGAAAAAATTATTACATTTGCTCAAGTCTGAAGAATTGAAATGGACACTTATCGCTTACAAATAATATGATAGATAATGGTGGAAACGAGATTATTTGATATATTTATTTAATATGGATAATGATTGAAAAACTGTTTGGTATTTGCTATATTTTGAATGTTAAAGAAGATAGATACGGTATTTTGAAAGCCTGTCAAAGCCAGGATTTTTTTAATGCTGTTCACTCCAAATAAGGCTCTGTACAAGTAAACACGGTTTAGTAAGAAATCTTGGTTGCGAGGGCCATTATTCCCAAAATCGCTGTATTAATTTCATTATTATTCATCCAGGGTACGCATGAATATTGTGATTATGCAAAACTGACTGTGAATAGTCATAGACTCATAACAGTACTGAATTTTTTTTTGCTTTTTTCATACTTTTACTTTTCGAGCCATAAATTATCTAAATATTACAGAGAGTGACGTTAAAACAACAGCAAAAAAAAGAGGATGTTGACAAGAAACGAGTCACCATTTGCCAAATAATTGAAATGCCTTGTGTTAGCTGAAGGAAATAACTCCTACACAACTTATTGCCAGTGAGACTTGATGACTTGTGACTCAACCTGGATTTAGGGACTTTTACCACTGCTTTTTCACAGCCATAATAATAAAATATGCAAGATGGGTTATTAGAATTGGGACAAAGCTATACAATCCAGCATACTCAGATTCTTCAACTCTCAGTCTGTCAGAGAATTAGCATTTCTTTAGTTCCAGTTCGGAATTTATTTAAAAATCTTCAACCATCGTCTACTTTGAAAAGATTACTGTAATTTCTATAAATAGCCGATTCTGGCTTTCAATACAATATGTTATAAACCATAAATTTTCAGTAAATCATCCAATTCTTTTTGATTGTAATTTGAAGAATCATGGCGCTTTGACAACGCCTCAAAAGTGGAACGAAGTGTGCTTTTATCAGAGTCTGATAGAAACATAGCTGCCATAGAAAACCTTTGTGCTTTTGTTAAATTTTTCATCATTTCGAAGGCACGTTGGGTATCATTTTCTTGTTCGAGGTGGTCGAGGGCTACTTTGGCTACGGTAGAAATCACATGGTCATCAATTTTGTTACTTAAAACTCCTGGAAGATCTTTTGGCGTAACTTTATCTAGTATGGCTTTATAAGCATTGAGATCAGATTTAGAGGTAACGATATTCCATTGCGCCCCAAATTCAAAAGGTGATAGAGTAGTGGTTTTGGATGGTGATGATCTTGTTTGTGAAACCAGCACTTTTTCGTCACTTCGCTTTTGTTCGATTTGTTCTGTGTCATCTTTCTTATCATAAGGTTTATCAGTCTTATCAGTCTCTTCCTTATCAGTACTTTCCTTATCAGTGACTTTCTCATTAGGAAGTTTTGTCTTACTGGTGATCTCCTTGTCTGGAATGTTTGTGTTATCAGCACTCTTGTTATCAGTAACTTTCTTATCGGGTTTATTTTGATTTGATACTATAGTTTTATCGCTCTCTTGTGATATAGGTTGATCATCGTCATTAGATTTGTTTCTTCCATCATTATCAGTAGGGAGAATAAATTCACCTTCGTCACTGCTACTACTACTGTCTACTTCTTCAATGACTAGAGGCTTCTTTTTGGGTACAGCGTCACGGTTGGGTTTATCTTGAGTGGGGGCGACCCCAGCTTTTTTCCTAGCTTCATCCCACGCTGATTTTTTGATTGCATCCAATTCAGAAGTTGCTGCTTTATTGGCTGGATCAATTTCAAGTAATTTTTTTAAATCTCGCTCAGCGTCTTTAAAAAATCCTTCGGCTTTTCGTGCGAGAGATCGCCTATAATACGCTTTCACATTAACAGGGTCAAGTTTTATCGCTTCTGTACAATCATTGACAGCAGAGATGTGTTTCTTCAGTTTCAAAAAACACAACGCTCTGTTTGTATAGCTTGCCGGTTCTTTGGGACACATTTTAATGCATCTAGTATAGCAATCGATAGCGGAAGAATAGTCACCTTTTTTGACATGTTCGTTCCCTTCTGCTTTCAGTTTTTCAAACAATTCCCGACGAATTTTCATTCGCTTTTCTTCTTTTTCAATTTCTTCCTGTTTCTGTTTCTCTAATTCTTCTTTTTTCTTTGGTGATTTCGACTTCGATTTATTCCGCTTTCGTTTTTGATTCGTACTTTTTGTATTCACTACTTTTGGTTCACTCGATTTCGGAACTGCAGACACCTTTTCAATAGGTTTTTCTTCAAAACGTGGTTGAACGGTAGACAAATTCTCATCTTCGACACTTTCGTCAGGAATAGCATTACTGTTCTCAGGCACTTGCACTTTTAAATTAGTATCAACAATAGTTGTTGGTTCCGTTTCATTGGGAACATCAGATTTGGTAATCTTAGTAGACTCAACGTCTTTAACTACGACATTTTGTCCTAAGAATGCACCAGAATCATGATGTGGATAGCTTGACACTTTTGGGACTTTTTCTCTCCACTTTGGTCCGTACAATTCTCTCAAATGACCAGCAATTCTATTTGCTCCATCCTGAGCCAGAGTATTGGTTAAATCCATACTGTGTGCAGATTTGAAATCGATCCAGGCTTTTCCGTATTTTTCCATATGCTCATAAGCAGAAGCTCTTCTCATAAGTGCTTTCGCATCCCATTTTTTGATTTCCAAAACTTTTTCGCAGTCAGTAACACAAGCCCTATCGTTACCTTGTTTGAGCCAACATGCCGCTCTGTTATTATAAAGTATGGCCAAGCCTAAATCGAACCCTGGATCAGAATTATCTTTCATAATTAACGAAAAGCTATCGATAGCTTCAGAATACCGTTCACACGCATCAGAGTAACGACCAGACTTAAAAAAGTCTCCTGCTTTTGCTTTTAAATCTTCAATTTTTGGAGGATACTTTGGCACAACTGGAGTGGTAGTTGTAACAATCTCTTCAACCTTAGCAGAAGGAGAATTCTCAACTTGACTTTGTGGGGATTCTACAATCTCCACTGATTTGGTAGAATCTTCATCAATTTTGGTAGAAGAAGAAGATTCTCTTGCCTCATCTTCTTCTGACTCTCCTTCCACTTCAGTGATGGTCATTTTTTTTCCTGATTTGAGGGAGACATCTTCATCGTTCCCAAGATTCACTTCTTCTTGTTTTTGTGCTTTCTCTTTTTCCAATTTTTCAACATCTTTCAATATGCTTTTAGCTCTCGCATTATTTGGTTCCTGATAAAAACAGTAATAACATGTAAAAAGATCGTTCCATTTTGAAATAATTACAATTAGTTCAACTTTAGGATAGGAGAGGATTTACATATTTATCCCGAAAGAGTGAAAATCATTTGGCGAACCACGGCCTCTCGTCTGGTTACCAGTACCAGTATGGATTAGTTAGCTAGTTATTTGTTTTAGATGCATGGAGACGTAATTGACAAGCGGTTATGTGAACCCTATGGCGGCCAGGAGTTCAGCAATCCTCTAGCACATAATTATCCCTTACAGGGTTCAAACCTGGTGGTGCGATGACGAGCATATTCCTAACGCTTAGCACGATGAGCTACACTGCCGAGGCCTTTCCTAAAGTCAAGTATGTCTACTAATAAAAACAATTTACCTTGTCTAACACAAACAATAAATCAGCTTTTGCTTCATTGAAAGATTCCAAAGCCTTGCAAGCACTTGCTCTCCTAAGCATTGCTTTTAAATTTTCTCCTTCACCTTCAATTGACAACACAGTGTTGCAATCTTCCTTTGCTTCCTGAGAATCAAAAATATACGAGAGTGAGACTATAAAAAGTTGGATTAAATTTACTGAAAAAAAATTAGGACTTCAATTTCCTGATGCTGACTTTTTTTGCTCCTACCCCTAAATCACAAAATTTAAACTGAGAAGAACTTTAAAATCACTATTTTATTCGGTAAAATTTGCTATGTAAAAACATGATACACCATATCAAGTTTTCATATTTAAACTCTAAAACGCATGAAGTACACATTAACAATAATAAAATGGAGTTTTATTTAAAAGCATCATTTTTTATCTCGTGTAAGTGCGACACGAGTTTTATTTCCTGATAATTTGGCACCACATCAGCAAAAAGTTTGGGAACCACTGGCATACACGATTCATATGAATATATACATCACTATTTCTATTCATATATTCCCGTTCCCAGAATCTATAAAATACCTTCCATTGTTCTAGTCTCAGATATACAAGAGCCCTGTTATTGAATGAGGCGGCATTAGGTTGTAGACATATGCTTCTACAATAATATGATAGTGCTTCCTCGTAGTCACCTGAAAGAAATATTGAAAATATTAAATACATACTGAAAATACTTATAATAAGTTGAAAAATGTTATCCATTTCGAGTTCAAAGGTTTTATAACTACTACTTTTAAATTGAAACTATGGATTTGTTTCATTGATGACCAAAAATCGTGTACTCTATGTCCAATATCTTCCTAATCGGATTAAGGGTATAGTAGTATATGTGGCGCTCCAGAAGTATGTGTACCAATATGGAGGTGACTGATTTTGTTCGCTCGTAATAGAACTAAAATGAAAGGAAAATCGGTATAAAATTATGACCTAACCCTAATCTGGTACACATACTACGGGAGTACCGATTCAACATACAATGGACAGTGTTGGGGAGGTTGAATCCCCATTAATCAAAGACTTGAAGTTACATGAGTCATCCAAATGAAATAGGGCGGATTCATTGAGACTTAACTCAGTAATTGACTTGATTTCAGACTCGACTCGAGAATTCAGATGACCTGCGACTCAACTTGATTCTTGACTCGGGCTTTAGGTACCTACTCAATGATTGACTCGGTTTTAGACTCCACTCGAGAACTCGGATGGCCCGTGATTCGACTGGATTCGCAACTTAGGGTTTAGAAAAAATACACCCAATATTGACAATATATCTTGCCTTAATGTCTTTTATAGATCTTTGTTCATGTATGATTATTAGTGACTTACCTGACTTGAATGCCTCATTCCCTTTGTCCTTTTCTCTTGTTGCCTTGATTTTTTTTCAAACGGAGTCAGACCACTTACATCAATATCCTTCGGTATTTCAATGTTCTGTTTTGAAAAATTCACCTATTCAAATTAATTAAATGCTTGCATATAGCAGAAATATATTAAAATTTATTTGTTATTAATGTTTGGGCTATCCATTTTCAAGTCTTCAGAATTCTTTGATAGAATTATTTTTTGTTGTAATTTTATGACAATATTCTACTTTTAATTTCTGGGCAAATCAAATTATCGCCTGATTCCCAAATAAAATCTTCAATTTTCAAATTTCTAAAAATTTCATTTTAGGTAATGAAATTCCATACCAAATCCCAGTCCTAAGATGAAATTTTTTTTTAATAAAGATCACACATTATATTTTTATCTCATAAATGAGAATTTCGGTCACAGATTCACAACGTTTGGGTTTACACTGGCTTATCATAATGTCACAGTTGGTATGGTACTTTACTTTTGTTAGATAATATTACCGCCCAGCTTTTCAACCTAATTTTTTATCATTATAATATAATAATGTTGGTGGTTCCCAGGAAAAAAAAAACCACATGCGACCTTCGAGCCAATGGCTTGCCATCCCTATTGTCTGGTGAGCGTACATTTGAACCCATGTGTATATCCGCGGGTTCAATCTATATGCGGGTGCTAAAACCCATGGGTTAGGGTTAGTATGGGTTCAAATATCCGTAAAAACAAAAAAATCCATAGGTGCAATAGTATGCAGGTGCAATTGTCATGGGTTCAAATGTAATGGAACCCTATGGTCCCATTCCTATACAAGGTTGAAATTCTGAAAATCGATTAATAAACAAACTTACTCTTTCAGGCACATTCTTCTCATTATCGTTTACTTGCTCATCAACTTTCTCACATTCTTTATCGACATCATATTTATCCCAAGCTTTATAATCGTAACTTTTAATTCGATCAGGATTTTCTTTCTTACCATCTCCTGCTTCTACTTTTTTCTTTTGGTTTCCTATATTAAAAAATAAGATGTCGAAAAGACTTATCATCAGTTAAACAAATCATCCTATGAGAGTAAGTAGTCTGCAATCCTCCCATGCACGGTTGGCCCCTTTTATGCTAAGCGTTAGCAAGACGCTTGCCATTGCAACTCAGATTAATATTTCCAAATATGAAATGTATAATTAAAATGGTCACGTCTTGTTCAACAGAGAAAGTTGCAGCCATTGTTGTAAAACGATAGAAATTGAATTTCGAAATGCAGAATACTTTGAGATTTAGATAAACATTGTATTGATAGGATAGGATCTATATATTCATCCCGAAGGGAGAAGAAAGCCGATAGGACGGCTCAATCATATGCCGAACCTCGTCCGGTTACCAGTCCATGTCGGAATGGGACATAGTTAGCCAGTTATTTCTTTTCGAAAGCATGGACTTAATGGTGGAGAAAGCCTTGACCGCGTGAACCACCATACGGCGACAAGGAGTTCAGCAATCCTCCCACACATAACTATCTCCGCATGGGATTCGAACATGCAAACCCGGCAACCCTCGCGAAGTAATCAGAGGTGCGCTGGCGAGCGTATTCCTAACGCTTAGCACGATGCACCACATCGCCGATAAATTTTCTATATTTTACAGTGTTAGAAGTCTAATGCAATCTGTATTATGTTTGACTGTCACAAAAATGAGGAATTCTCTATTGATACTGGTAGTATACTAAATTCTTCTTAAAATCATGTACTGATCAATTCATTGGATATCTCTGGATATGGGCATTAATAGGCTACATCTTATAAAATCCATTATTTAATTTCACAGAAAATGTTTGTGATATTTGTATTATAAAGCACTATTAAGTGTAAAGCTAGTATATTAAACTATTACTGGTAGATTATTTGGTAATGCACAAAACTATTTTTCTTAAAAATTCAGAAGATTCAAAAAGAATTAATTTTATACTATTTATTTATGCTGAAAGGTTTTACACTCGAAAAAACTCTAAAATCTGAAAAAATAAAACTTTCTCTCAACATTAATTACCTTTTAAAACATGAGTTCCTCTCACAGGTGGTAATTTATCATGATCACCAAAACCGTTCAATTGTGGTTTGTCTCGACTCGGACCCAAAATATTTTGATCAAGATTCGACATTTGCCCTTCCCATTCTTCCATACTATTTATAAGATTCTGGCGCTCTTCTTCTTCAAGATCCCTGAACCAGAACATAATACTAATCGTTAGAAACACGCTTTTCATTGTACCTCTGATTACCCTGTGTGGATTCGTCAGTTCGAATAACACGGGATATAATTATGTGAGAGAGTGCTGCTGGACTTTTCAACACCATAGGAGACTGATTTTAGGAAGTCTTTAAAATTCTCTGAAATGATGAGTCATAGTTCCTTATGATTCATTGTTAAAAGTATGCTATACAAATATGCTATTATACAATCACAACAGTATATGCCAAAATATCCCAAAAAATTTTTATATCCTACTTAGAAAGAAGTTCGTGCAATACACATAATATTTGTAATTATTAAAACTGAGCAAATATAATGTTAACAATAGTGAAGTTTTTTTGGAGTCTTATGCTCAAGCTCAAATATTGATATATTGTTTATGTCAGGAACAAACCAAATCGGTCAATCAATTTTAATTTCTACTAATGTACTATGGCAGGGTTTCCCAAACTGGGGTCTGGGGGTTCGTGATAACTGCACAGAGGGTCCGCGACGATATGAAAGGAGTCTGATCAATCTTTAATGATTGATTTAAAGCCGTTTCATATTTTGTTGGAAGTTGCAGACAAAATTGCTGTCAGAAAGGGCAATCAGAAAAATCTACATGAGTGAGGCAGCGTTTCCATGTCTTACCAATTTGATGACAAAATACAGGTCGAGACTTCCTGGGGGTCCGTCCGTCAAAAATAATATTCTAAAACAGGGGCCCACGGCCCATAAAGTTTGGGAAACACTGTACTACAGTACAGCACACTATCCAAATTCTAAGAATTTCCTTCCATTTGGCTCAATAAAACAAACACTCTATGTGTGTCACAAACGAGGGGCGTCTGTGACCACGTCAGATGCTTCATATCACTCCATGCTTGTCTCAATAATATTTTAAATTAATCGCGGCTGTCACATGACCAAAATTGCCCTTTTTTTCTAAAAACTCTCGAATGCTACCGTAAAAATTTTTTTCCTTCGGTAAATCGGATTAACTTTTCCCAAGGAATTCAATGATGACGTTACTAAATTGCACTTTTTTGTAGTATTTTGCGCAACTTCATTATACTGTATTATTACCGATATTGAAGGACAACAATGTCCAGACGTCTCCCAAAGGAGGGGTGTCCGATCATCTGTAAAATGGGTTTCTCTGAAACGGGACAATGTCACCCGTTTTGTATAGTGTGCCGTACTGTACTATGGAATAAAAAAAACAATACAGATACAAAAATATATAAACAAGGCCTACCTGGCACTCAGTACCGGATGTTGTTTTCTCAGTGCTCTATTATTCGGATTTATCGATTCTAGTTTCTTTTCACAACATAAGATTAACTCAGGATAAAAACCATCTCTTCCAGACTTTAAAGTTCTGAGTATTCTTTCCAATTCCTGTTAGATAAACGGATCATGAACAGAGACTATACTACTTAATCATAATCATAGAATACAGGGTAACCCGAAAAAACGGAATCAATAAATTTTTTACAGAAATGGAAAAAAAATTGGTGGTTCCATCATGACGAGGCGACTCTCTAAACATCAAATCACACCCTTGACTGACTGAGAGAGCAATTTCAGGCTGATCCGCAGTCAGTAGTGACCCGAGTGGGAACCTCATTCATCATATTTTCCGCTATTCAGGTTGCTTCACAATGATCAAATGGAGAAAAACACATGAAAATATTAAACAAAGGTTTTGATGAATCTTTCATATTAATTTCGAAGTGATTCTGTGAAACAACAATCTTACTTCCTATGTACTTGAAGTCAGTGTCTTTGAATGAAAATAACCTTTACGTACACCAGTGGTAACCAATATATTCCGGGTCTCGTGAAACAAACACCGTAACTACTTAAATATCCAAACAAATATGTGATGTGAGAATACAACCCAAATTTTCATTTTTTTCTAAAAATAAAAGTCCGTCTTGCGCAAACACAATACACTAAATGCATGGGACAAGTAGGAGACGAACAACTCGACTCACGAGATGACACGTAAGTTGTACAACTTTACGCATTTTCGACAGCGACACTTTAAGACAATACGGCCTATACGAGTGTAATTTCGATCTTTTTACACAAAATTTCGCATCACATTTTTGTTGGGTGTTATTTGAGCATCACAATTTTGTAAGGCGTTATTTAAATATGTAAATCCTATTCTAAACAGTTTTGACGTTTACTTGACTAAACCCTATATTCCCATACCCTATTGTCCTACCGTGACTTAATTTGATTATACTTATAACCTTTTTATATTTATCACAATCTGGACTAATTTAGGGAATAAAGTGGTTTAGCCCATATCTTCATGCACACAATTCTGGCAACCTAAGTTGAGCAATTTGGCTCCAACTATAATCAGATACCGTAATCCGGTCTTACTACTTACTGAATACAGCGCGAAACACCGCAAAGAGCGCAAAACAGCGAAACAGCGCAAAACAGAGGGAAACAGCGCAAAACAGTGGGGAAACAGCGCAAAACAGCGCGAAAGAGCGCAGAACAGAGGGAAACAGTGTGGAGCAGAAAAATTTTTTGCAAAGAGTTCGGGGCACCTTTTTTTGAGTTGGAGTACCACAGCAGCAAATTAAAAACACAAACCAACGTATGTAGCCAGTAATGCTGTAATGGCAGGTCTGCCCCTGCTGGAGACACATTTTGGGTACCATTATTTAGAACATTTTCCATATGAATATGGTTGGCTTTAGGGTTAGATAAAAAGGGACCTCCAGAAGTATGTGCACCAAGATGGCGCCCAACCTGAAGATAGTATGTGTGTGTGTGTGTAGCGGATTCAGGTTGTGCGACATATTGCTGCACATACTTCTGGAGCACCAAAAAGGTAGATAAAATTTCGCATGATGACCTATAATCCGGTACATAACCTTGTAAATATACCGGAAATAGCGCCATAAAACCATGGCGAGAGGCACCGTGGTTCTTTCGTGGCAGGAGGTGGTAATGACTGCGTCCCCTGTTTTGCGCTGTTTCCCTCTGTTTTGCGCTGGTTTCCTTCTGTTTCGCGCTGTTTTCCTCTGTTTTGCGCTATTTTCCACTGTTTCGCGCTCTTTGCGGTGTTTCGCGCTGTATTCAGTAAGTAGTAAGATACCAGTAATCAGCTTGTCAAATTTTTTTAATAAATGTTTTTCTTTACTGTTCACTCCCGTGTAAAAAATCGATTAATTTGGCAATGGTAAACATTATAAATATCTATGGCAGAAATAAACACACGCATTACGCAAATGGGCTTTCATTATGTGAGCATCTGTTTCAGTGTTTATACTGAGACTGCTCTACAAGCGGCGCAACGGTGTGGCTCAACGGGCTAAGCATTAGGAATACGCTCGCCACCGCACCTCTAATTACTCTGCGTGGGTTCGCAGGTTCGAATCCCATGCAGGGATGGTTATGTGCAAGAGGATTGCTGGACTCCTCGCCGTCGTTGGGTGGTTCACGTAACCGCTGGTCGGTTACGGCTTCCTCCACCACCAAGTCCATGCTTCCGGAAACAAACAATACAGTAAAACTAATCCCATACCCGACTTGGAATGGTAACCGGACGAGAGGCCGTGGTTCGCCATATGGATAAGCCGTCTTATCGGCTTTCCTCTCCCCCGGGATAAATATGTAAATCCTAAGCTGACCAGTCTACGTCTGTGCGGCACAACAGTCTATAAGTTTACTGGTACCATATTATTCTATGATATCAGCTTATTTACCTTTTCGTTGGAGCATTTTCCTATATATGAGTAATCGAGTTTGTCGACGGTGATATCTTTTTCAGGAGGCAATATAACACTTTCAGCCATGGCACCGGTGAAAAATCGCAACAGTCAGCAGGAAAAACCGAGAAACTAGTCCGAGATTACGAAAATCGAACGGTTCCTCATACGGATTCACTGAAGCGTGGTTCGTTCGTAATTTACATAGCAACGTTACGAAACAACTTGAAATCGTATCTGTAGGTAGGATATGATTTTTTCTATTTGTACCCGGGGGAGGGAAAGCCGATAAACGGCGCAGTCATATGGCATTAGTATAGCCTTTCGTTCGGTTACACCGTTACGGTATCAGTTCATGTAGGGCAGGGGTCGGCAATCTATTGCCCGCGGGCCGGATCCGGCCCGCGACGCTCCACTTAATTATAGTAACAAAACATACGTTTTGACAAATATATTCTTTAGACTAAACTATATCATGACCTAACAATTATATAATTCGCAATTACTCGTTTAATGAGCACATAATTTAATTATAATTAAGCAAATGGCAACAAAACGCAGAAAAATTGATGCTAAGTGCAAAGGGTTCCGTGGCGTTGAAAATATTCAAATATAATTTTATGAAATGCAATGAGGAAATAAATCTATATTCTATTCGAGAGATGTATGACTTATTTTTTTATAATAAGCACCATCTGTTCGGTGTTTCAACTTTCTAAAAATGCGGCCCGCCACCTTAATTTTGGCCCGCGAGCGACAAAGGGTTGCCGACCCCTGAATTAGGGTATGTTATTTGCTTCAGATGATAGTGGACGCGCTAAGCGATCAACGGTTGGTTAAGTGAATCGCACAAGGCACAAGGACGGCGACGAGCCGAGCTCAGCAATCATTTGCTCGCACCCCCCCCCCCCCCCCCCCCACCCGGTGTGCAATAGGCAACGAAGCTACTTCAAATAATTCACATGTCTATATACCAGTGTCGGATAGAAGTTCCTCAACCTCGGGTTCCAATTAAACATAAAACATATGTCCCCTCACACCTATATAGTAAAAAAAACTACGCCAGAACCGAGTAATTAGGAACATGAATCAAAAAAGTAGTAGGAGTTAGTTTATTATTTGTCATTGTACTGCGCCCAATTATCCTGTTTTTGTCTCATACTCTTCCAGTTGTGTTTCCTTAGTATTGTGACAGAAATGTTAAAAAGAAATTGAGAGATGTAACATTATACAACTGTTTATATATTCTGGAATAATCCTTGTGTTCTACACTGAGCTTTAGTATCATCAGGTACAGACTGCTACAGCTCAATCAAGTACTGTATTAGGGAATTCTATGGGACTGGACGTGGCAATGCAGTTTTCAAATTTCAAATGTTCAGAATCCTGCTAATTACTCCTGGATTTTGCATATTTTGTTCATGCTTGTTAGTCGACTACATACAGGCATGCGGAACACTATAGCATAATTGGAGCTAGTAGCATTTCTATAGATAGACTGTGGTGCTTCAAATATATGATCAGTTTTAATTGGTATTACCCGAAAAATATGAATTATCAACTTATCCTATGTTCTAGGTCCTAGGATACGCTTTGGGATACGAAATGTATGTAATAACGGTACTCGAGACTGGTGGATTTTGCACCGACTGTAATATAAGTAGCCCATATGGCGAGAAGCTACAAAAAATCCACAAAAACACAATATGAAATATTTTATTACTTCAAGATGTTACGTTTAAAAGCAAAGTGAAAAGAAGGAAGAGATGGAACTGAATCTGTCAGCAAAGAAGGGGTTCTACAACTATTAAAGTTTGTCATCCGAAAAGATCACTGAGTTGGCGAATAATACAATGATATCAGCGCCACGAAAACATCATTTGTCGTTTTCGCTGTCGTCATGATATGGTTGTATTTCTTCAGCGTCAATTTCGTAAAGTTGAACAGTATCATGATTATTGATACGTCGATTTCTTTTCATGCGCTTACGAACACAACAAAATAGAGACAGGAACACGACTGGAACCAGACCAATGATGCCAACTGCAATGTAAGTAAGATCATTTGAGGGAGTGAGTGCATTGGTTGTAACGTCCCCATTTGTTATTTCAGTATTACCAGTCGATAAAACGGTGCTCATGGTAAATGTAGTTGACGCTGGATTCGACGTCTCAGTAGTTGTTATTCCGATGGAGCTAATATATACTGGCTCTTCTGAGTGGGGTATTATAGTTGTATAATATATTTTTAGCTCGTCTAATATAAAGCTTGGTCCGCCAGTTTCGCCTACCACTAGATTTGTCATCGGGAAAGGTTCAGAATTTACAGTTGTATGGCCGATATGTGTATCTCCTGTTATTAGAGTATCATTCAGCATAATGTTTATTGTATGATTAGCTTTGATCCACTTGATTTCGAGATAAGACCAATGGTCCAGTATATAAGACTCTTTGAAAGTTGTCTCGTATGTCTTTCCTAGTGATCCACGAATGTATACCACCACGTTTCCGTCATCGCCCTTTCCAAAATAAATACCTGGTAAGTGTCTAGCGCTCGTGAGAGTTTTGATAATGCTCTGGCCACTGGTTTGGCCCCAACTTTCAAACTTTAGCCAAAAGACAATCGTTGCTTCATTGCAATATTCTATATTGTAGATGCAATCGTGTTCAGTTAAATTTCTGGCTATCTCGAATCGCTTTCCCGGTAAATAAATAGCTTTGCCAACAACGCCGGTACGAAATACATCAATTTCGCTTTGCATTAACGAGCCAAAGTCACCATAATATCTGCTTTCCAAACTGTATTCAGGAACAACTTTACTTCCATCATATTCATCAAATGACCATGCCACAGTGGGGTATTTGTGCTCAGCTTGTGCTCCTGCTACATAAACAATAACCAAAATCGTAGTCAACAACAACATGGAGTTCTGCATATTGTCTTTTATAAACTAATATTTGACACATTGTCACTTATATTTTATTAGCGGCCATGCAACTTCCGCATTGACGCATTATTCCCACGCAGTTTGCGTCAACTGCAGTGTCTTGTGATGGTGCAATAACTTCAGGTGAAATCTTCTTGGTTAATTCACTAAAATATACTTATACCCTGCCTGACAATATAGCAGTAATATATAACGTTAAACGTTAACGTTAAAATTATAACGTTGGCCTAAAATTAGTCGATTGTTTTCATGTTTAGGCAAGGGTATGATTGTCTATAAGTTATAAGTATGCTTTTAAGTTTGCGTGGTTTTCAAAAAATTATTTGGTAAACTCTATGTGTCATGATGTTTGCGAAATGCCTACTGCTATTTTGAAATGTTTATGTTCTTCCCCAGCGTATTATTTTCAGATTATTCCCCGAAAATCTCCCGAAACGTGACAAATGACGGCGTGTAAAGCAAAATCGTATTACCATTTTACAATGCGACACATCTGAAATAATCGAATATGGAAAACTATAATTTTTATGGCAGTATAAGTGTTAGAACTGGTCGAGAATTTTTTCTTACAATATTATTTGTAAGATTGTTAGTTTATATATATATAATTTATTCACATGATTTTTATTTTTTAATTTGCCGTTTATGAGTTACAAATCTGCTATAAAACGCCAGGTTTGTTGATATAGGTAGAGTGCTTTGGCCCAGCCAAAGATTCCGACTCTACATTGTGCCCGAAGATCGAAATTTACGCAAAGCGATTGAACGGTAAAAAGTACGTTTTTGTCAAATTTAAACAATTATTTCACGTTTTATTTCCCTTTTCGCCCAATGATATCGAAATCTATACCGTGCCAGTGTCCTAACCTTCCTGTCCAAGTCATTGACACTCATTTCAGTTGTTTTGACGAACTCAATCCCAATCGCAGAAAAAAAAACGAAATAAATTTACAGAAGCCATTTTTGTATTGAAGATTTATTGAACAAAAAATTAATTCGAGTGAAATCAACACAAATAAAGTAAATCACAAAAAGTTCTGGTAAAAGAACAAACAAATCATTTCATTATATAAAACACATTTTTTAAAAAGCTATCGTTAATATAGCATAACATAACTAATATAAATTACATTCGTAGAAATTTCGCGTAAGTGAAAAATCCAACATATAAAAAGTTTCAACCGGAAATTGAGCAGAGTTAAAATTGGAGTCAAAGCTTATATGCATTACAAAAAAAATTTAATACAAAGTGCAGTTGGAAATCGGTCATACAAGGGGCTAGGTGCAGGTTTCAGACCATACGTAAATGCCGAGATTGTGAAAAGATTTCAACCAGCATGGGAGACTCGAAGTTGTTAAAGTAATTTTTAGAAACAAAAAGTGAATATATATTTTAAAGTAATAGATGTCAATAAAAAATAAAATATTTTATTGTTGAAGATATGATAGGAAGAAACGGAGAAACAACAAAATTAATAAGCGAGAAAAGATAATATCGTTTAATATGGGTAATGCGATATCTAATCGCCAATTACGCTTTTCGCCATTTTGAAAGTCTGTCAGAAGATTGATATTCTTCAAAAATATTTCTGCCTTATACAGCAGACGATGGTTGTGGCGAGTGTAACAGGCGGCCGTTTTGCTCTTCCGCGTCTGTGTCCTCTGTGTCGAGGTTCGACCCTTCGTCATGATATGGCTCCACAGCACTTGCTCTTTCATAGCCACCACTCACCTTGGAGAAAGCCACAGCTCCGCCATCAGTTTCCATTCGACGACCACGTCGCCTTCGAGCGCAGATAAGCCAGACAAGACATACGGATAACGCAGCGATTGCAATAAAAGCAATCAAGATTGGAACCCATATGTTCCAGTACGTTTCGGCCCCTTCTCCGTTTGTCAACTGAGTTTGGCTTGTTGTCTCTATCGTGGATAGAGCCGTGGTGTCTTCGGGGCTGGTCGAAGCCTGATTGGTAGATTTAGTAGTCGGCGAGTTTGATGTTTGGGTAGTTGTGCTGGATGTGGTTAATTCAGGAGATGTGCTAATAGAGGAGGGTGGGGTCGTGGGATTGCTAGTAGAAGTCGAACTAGTGGTAGTAGTTGATGCGGTCGTGGGATTGCTAGTAGAAGTCGAACTAGTGGTAGTAGTTGTAGTTGATGTGGTCGTGGGTGTAGACTTTGTCGTTGTTGTTGTTGTAGCTGGGACTTTGCCGTAGCCATAGTATACATAAAACTCGTCCAGGTAGAAGCTAGGTCCGTTTTCGCTTCCAACGACAAAGTTTGTAGTGAGCACTGCTGTTGGCGCGACATCCTCTTCTTTAAGAATAAGAGGTATATACTGTGAATTCACATAGACAGTAATGTATCCAAAAACGTTCCAATCAAAAACAATATGTGCCCACTTGTTCCACGCATACGACTGATCGAAGGTGTGAAAAAAGCTTTCTCCTTTAGAACCTCTGTAGACAATAATCAAGTCACTACCATTACCTTTGCCGAAATACACGCCTGCCGAGCTCCTGTCTTCTGGAGTAGTTCGAAATATAACGGGTGATGAGGCGTTATTCCAGCTTTCAATTTTCAACTGAAAAGACAATACGCTTCCAAGTCTGCACGTGTCCGGATCTCGTAAACAAACGTCTTTAATGCCCGTTGCCAGATTGAATGTCTTTCCGTTTACGTAAACAGCGTTTGATTGCACTCCAGGCACTAAAATTTCATCCAAATTTGTGCCCAAAGGACTTAAATCGGCTTGGTATTTTTCATCCTTTGTATAAATCGGTATTACTTTGGTTCCGTTCAAATCATCAAACGACCACATTACTATTGGAGTAAGGGCGCTCTCCGAATCACAAACAAATAACATCAGAAACAGGAATAATACGGAATACATCATATTTATTTTTGTACTTTGAAAAATGTTCGACTTGCTTTTTCTATTTCGTTGCGTTGATGCTATTCAGAACACGTACGTAATAACGTCTTTTGATTGTTGTTCTTAGTTTTATAAGTGCATCATTCAGCATAACGTTGCGACACGAGATAATGCATTTGTGTAATGCATCTTTAATCACGTGACGTGATCTATTCGAGGAAGTTCCCAATAATGAAGAGGCCACCTACACAGTGATGTGCACGCAATTCAAAACTTGATTTTGTTTGTCAACTCAGGTTTGAAAATTTTGTTTATTATACACGACCATGTATCAGCCAACGCTAATGCATAACGTTATATCACTAGTTCATGCCACAGCAAACACACAAAACTGGACAACGCAAACTTTAATTTGATTTGGTGACCTGCTGCTCATAACTATGATCTAATTTTGACGCGATATTCATATTCCACAGAATTCTTCCTTATGTTGAATATAATATAAGCTATATGAACCAAATTTGAGGTCATGAATTCTACAGTGTTTTATCAAATTTTAGGTTGTTTGTAGGCCTATAACATTTGGGTTGTTTGATTCATACTGGAGTTGTTACAATTAGTTGTTACAAGTCTATATGTATTTTATATTCCACAGAGCTTCATCGACAAGTAAAATATTCAGTCATTCAAGAAAAAAATGTATTTTAGCCGTATACTACTCCGATTTCTCAGACATAAAATTTTTCAGACATAATCTCTTTCAATTTTTTCCTTCTCGATTACCGTAAACATTTTATTTTCAAGCGTGTACCAGGAAAAAAAATGGTACATGTCCGTCTAACGTACTACGGTAAATGCAAAATATAAAGTGGGCATTCAATTTTGTTAGTTTTTATTATGTCGGGGACTTGGGGTATGATCATCATGCATTGGGCCTAAAGATTATACCATGTGCATACCATTTACATATACAGTGTGTCGTACTGGTACCGATGTGCGATATTTGTGTTCATATTTGCGAGCCATTCATTACTCTTGTATTTAATTAAATATTGCATTCGAAGTTTCGTTCGTTTATTGAAATAAATTTTCTATAAGGTCCGGACCCCAGTAGTTTTGAATTTTCCCAAAAGGACCTTTGGTGAAACTAGTTGAGTAGTCCTGGTGCATAGCACATATTGGAGCTTCGATTTCATATTGATTATACACGAGTCGCAACTGTTTTAGTTGCTTATCAAATCAAACAGATCTCTTGATATGATTATTTGAAAGAATGCATAACGAATGCCAAACTGAAAAATAAAGTTAATTTGCAATGAATTGGAATGATGATTAATCAACTTCGAACCACATGAGACGCAATATTAAATATAATCAAACAATAAACCAAGCTTTTTGTATGAATCATTTTCTTGAGCATCTCTGAAAACGTATTATTACCAACCACTTAAGCCTGATTGAACACAAAATTCTATAGTGGACACATGCGTGACGCCATGGAGTGTCATTGCTTGTGCATCGTATTGTCATCTGAGCTATCATATTACGCATATGACTAGAACAATGCAAAATTCTTGACTGCGCGTTCGTAACAACATTATATATTATAATGTTATTAGGTCTAAGTGTATATTAGCTCATTGTTTTAATAAGTCTTGCAACAATGTTGCGTAAATGCAAAGAGTGATTGCTTCACACGAAGTTTTCACATTTGACCCAATTTATTTTGTCATGCACGAATGTTTTACCTTAAATTCCGAATAAAACTCTGCATCACCACGGTCTTATATGCAGTGTTTTTCCTGTTTTTATTTTTATTTTGGAAGAACGTAATCTTTTCGACTGGGACCAAATTTTTAGGTAGGTGCATCATATCTAAAATGCGAAACCAACAACTGCGCCCGGTTTGGCCGGTTTTGCTCGATATACAAATCGGAATTATAAATTATCCACAAATATCTTAATATCTATATATATATATTATGGTCTATTGCGGGAGTTATCTATTAGTAAACCTCACAACCGATTTTCCCGCTTCGTCGTAATTTCATTTTCTTCTTGGTCACTTGAGCAAGGTTTTAGTCAGTCACAGCCATAAACGATATTTGACACCAAATGATTTCCAAGGATTGTATAACTTTGTAGACAATTTTTTAAGTTCGTTTTTTATCTTATCCGTATTATTAAACGTATATAAAACTACGTCATTTTGGTAAAATATTCAAAATATCTGATCTGGGATTGCGAATATACATAGTGTGATATATTGTTGCTCATTGCTGACAACTTGCGTTCATTCCGTTCAATTCCACACGCGATCTGCTTGTTACGTAGATCAGTTATTTCCGTCGTTACGGTTCGTATGAAGTTGAGAAGATGACAATTTTTTAAATGGAAAGACTTGAATCTCCTAGAGTTAAAAGTTCAGGCTTCTCTCATGTTCAGATTCAGAGTTTCTAATGAACTACTGAGGTTTTCCCGGAAGAGTGGTACAGATTTTAGCCCAACAGGTATAGGAAATAGGGAAAATGTATGAAAATATATCATTTATTCTAGGCTCCACGTTCATAAGTCACAATAACGCTGATTAGCGCCGGATGCACATGAGATTTTCACCATCTTGGACAATAAATGAACCAATGGATCGTTCTGAATATTTCTTCCTCGCGGGGTATAAAGAAGCTAGGACAGTCCGGGTACCGTTATACTCCGGTGCAAGTACTGGGAATTACCGTAGCTATTCCACAGTTCTAGCCTTATTCAAGATACCGTATGATTTTCAGGGGGTTGTTCGTAAAATATTTTGTTTTGACTTCCGTGTCCATATATTTGGGCATTGCACTCCTGTGTTTGTTTATGAGTTCAGCCACAGAGATTCGAACACGTTTGTTAACATGGGGTGAGTTGCACAGTGTGATATATAGTGGGGTTGGACTGCAAATACCAGGCAGTGGTAGCAGAGCACATGATTTGTGTGACTGGTGTATTTGTATGGTTGGTGACTGGTGTAGTCAATTTGTGACGTCACTCATGCGTCAATTTGCGTAGATAAAGAAGCTTGATCGTGATACACTATTAAGCAGCAGCACAACTACAAAATAGCCATATTGGGATGTAGTTTTGCTAGTGTTGGGTAAGAAACGGGTTCTTATCAGCCACTCTGTTCCTCGACTTAAATAAACCAGGGTTTTGAGATGAGATGGATTATGCCGTCTGAACCACGTATCCTATGTATACATAACTTCTCATATATAGAGCGTATTTCTAAAACATGTCATGCGAAACTAACTTCTAATTTAAATTTCTTCAAGTTTGCCTCAAGACTCCTCCTATTATCACTTACCAAGAAGACTTCAACATCCGCATCGTAATGAAATTTATTCGGAAACATAAGAAGAAAAACAATAACGAAAAAATTCACGACGCAATTGATTTCAAAATATACTAAAACTATTCTGTCTACTATAGTTTCATCTTGCCCAGAGCATGAGAATCTATCTGAGAAGGACATGAGCCCGTGGCCAATAGAATGGGTTAGTATTCATTACTAAAAAATACTCTTGGAAACCAGGTAAAAAGTTTGCTACATTGAAAAGCCCGTGGATAGAATAGGTATCTGATGTTAGGTTCATAAGTGGCAATTACTTGGCCAAACAAAATTATTGGTTGGGAACAGAAAACGGACAAGCAAAATAAAATTGAGCAAAAATAGCAAAAAAAAACGGAACAAAATATAAAAAATCTCAATATGGTTAAAAAGAAATAATACCAATTTTCCTATATTTTTTCGAGTAATCGTTCCTATATCGTAGAGGCGAAACATGCTTGGCCGAATATGATAAAAAAATAAAGAAATTATATTTTGAATTACCGTCTTTTCAAGGTGGTGATTGCAACACAGTCGGCCAAGCATGAACGAGCTATGATTGATAATAGGTCCTTAAATCTTCAGTGATGAGGAACATGACGGTAATAGTAATGACAAAAACAATTTTTTCATATTTACTTAAATAAAATATACACACGGGAATGCAATAATGTAGATGGACGCAATAAATAAAGCTCACCAAAATTTATCCACGACTATCTCTCTCCTAGTCAAATGTGATCAAGTATGAAACGTCACTATTTCATATAATTTATTATTCATACATGTTCGAAGATAACCCGGTGACAAAATTTAATTTACGGAAATGTAAAAAAGGGGAAAATGAGAGAAGAAAATTCAAAAGTTACATAAGAAATTGTAATTTGCCAAATACAAGATAAGATATAATGATCGGGTTCGCGCTTTTTCCATTGCTAAATATTGAGAGAGTAAAATTTTGCAATGAGTATCACCTTGTACTATTAAATAGGGTAAGGGTACTTTTTAAGGTATTTTTTCAGTGGATTAGGTAAAGGTAGTTCATCCACAATATGATCATTTACCCAAAGTTTTTGCGATGTATTGAGTGTCTGTCGACATAGTCTTTGCAGGCTTGGAAATGTGTGTGGCTTTGAAACAGCCTTTGATAACAAGACTGGAATTTCATGGCGAAGTCCGTTTCGGCTCTCCCAATAACATATGAATTGCTCTTGACGTCTATGTTCAGAACACAATGTTGAAACAGCGTCATCTTGCGGAGAAGGATTCGAATTATTTGATTTTTTCAAAGCAGCACATCGTTCACATTGGCTGTTTCTTTTCATAAATTTTCTCGTATTTCGTCGTTCAATTTCTAAACGTTTAGCGTAGAAAAGTACCATGCCGACGACGCACGTGAAAACGGGGGCAATTTTTTTGACGTAGGGGGGATGATCACCGGACCTAGTAGAGTTCGAATTATCAGTTCGGTTCGAATTTGTACGGCTTTCGTAGTCAAATCGAAATTCTCCTTCGTTGTATATAGTTCGTATGCTTGTTGGTCCTTGGCCCGTCTTGACGCTCAGACTAAATAAATGTCTGAAAAAAAGAAGAAATATATTAAAAAATTGAATAAAAATGAGGCTTAAAACATAATTCAAATTGTTTGTACTTTTTCCGAAAATTGCCATTTTTTGCAATTTTTGTAAGAAAAAATGTCATATATAATAATTTTACTCAAAATCTATGCTTCTATTATATTCAAAAGTAAATCGAATTGCGAATTCGATTTTTAGAATACAAAAATATTTGGATATGATCATTATTAACATCTGTACGTTGACAAAATCGGAGATAATTGTAATTTTCTCTACTCCACAGTACCATATAAGTATGCCAAAGGCGCTCTCTACTGTATCACGTGGCAATTTCCTAGTTACATAACTTCGTTACATAAGATCTGTCAGTGACGTATTCAAAACATTTAGTGGCAAGCCAATGATTTGCCTCGGGGTGAAAGTAATGATTATGACTTCAAAATGTTATTAAATCCTCAAAAGTTATCGATGTTTTTTATTATTTTTTATCAAATTTAAAAAATTAAAAAAAAACTTTCGTTGAAAATTTAGATGTCAAATATCGTAAAGTAAAATTTAAGCACATTCTATATTTTGATTATTGCAAATTAGAATTCTTTTCAAGATTTAAGGTAAAAATTATTTATCTGACAATTCGTATCAATTTTTTCTCTTAAATCTATCAAATTGGTGTTAATTCTTCTAATAATTTTTTAGCTTTGTCACAGAAAGATAGCCATTGGCGATGACTCGTAGGATAAGAAGGTTCTTTATTCCGATATATGAAAGATAATCGGTCTCGCTATTCGACACCAAAATTCTGGGAAACTGTGTTATATAAAGTTTGCCAATATGAATAATAACCCTCTTGTTTCTGACAGTTACATAATCAAATTTTGACGATTTTTCCTATGGAGTGGATTACGGGTTAAAAATTTTATGTCGAATATTTCAATAAAATTTTTTTAAAATGCTTTCAAATTTGAGACATGTCACATTGTTTTTTTTTGTGTAAAGCGTCGTATTGTTTCGTGAATCTATTTTCTCTCAAAATCACACTATTAGAATAGATGAATTTTTTTTATAAACAAGTTGCTTTTATTGACGGAACAGTAGGGTTGGGTTTGAAATACTGACAATGCACAATTATTATTTCTTTCATTTATCCTCCGAAGACCACATCGGGAAATGCTACATAAAGCATAAGCGACTAGCGATAAAGATTTTTTTTTTTAAAATAAAGCACTAGATTTTTTTTCTTCGATTCAATTATCCGTCAAAAAACGTTACATAAGAACAAAAAGTTGTCGTACGAAAAAATATTATATAAGCGTTACATAACTCGAATTTCAAGAAAATATTTAAACAAATATCCACACGACATTGGCAGGTAGATTAAAAGCGATTAATGGGAAACTTGAGAAAATCACTCAACAACATTTAAAAACAAAAATTTTTTACTTGTTTTTACATATTTCTTAATAGTTTATTTTTTCTGAAACACATTTTTTAAGTCGAATTCAACGAAAAAGATAAGAGCGCGATCGCAATATTTCACATAGTCATTTCATATTTGTACGTGTGTATAAACGAAACCATTTTGTGGGGAATAGGATTCTGCTCGGCTAAAAATACCTCCGTTGGGAATTGGCGATAGCGCTTCATTGGATAGTCCAGAATTTGCATTTTTTCTTCGATTGACTTGATGGAGTCACCTGGAGCACCAATTGAGTTTTCGAAGAAAAGAACACGGACAAACAACTATTGGAAAATCTATTTAAAACCCATCAAAAAGGATTACAAACATGGAGAAAAGAAAGCAGAAAAAAAATCCCGTTACGGTTTGATCAATAATAATTACCCATTGTCTAACATGATAACGTAAAAATATGACGTTTTATCATCTTCCAATACACAATTTTACGTAATTTAGTAAAATGCGAAATATTTACTGCGAAAATACTAGTAATTTTTACTAGAAAATTTTGAATTACTGACAGAAAAAACTGCAAAAAATAGAGTTCAAATAAATGGAAAATAAGAAAATGTAAAAGTAGAAAAAATGTTCAAATCGCGCAATATAAATTTATAGTCTATTCACACATTACAACATTGGATATTTGTTTTGAATAACGTTTTCCAAGAATTCTTCATTACCAATTTTGAAATTGACCTTGGAGTTCTAGGAAAATTTTTAATTGCCGTATTTGAAACGTATATTTGAAAAGCTCTCGTATATTGCATTTGTAAACCGATAATTTTCCACGAATTCGGTATTAAATCGTAAATAATTGAATGAAAGACATTCGCCGAAACTCTTAAAATAAGCATATATTCACCGCATACATTTGTGGTTATTTTGTCGAAAATTATAAATGAATAAAATTAAAGTATTTTGTAATGAAAACTTTGTCAAATAGACGTCAATTTTCAAGTAATAAAACTCAGATTTTAATATTTATTATGCCATTTTTATTTCAATGTGTATTGGGAAAATGAATCTCCTACAAAATAAAAGTAGAATGTCTTGCTTTTGATCATTTCGGTCGCCTGAAAATATTGCGTTACCATAGCAACTACCAATTTTCAGATTATCTGTAACGAATTGAAATTATCTGGTGTCAAAATAACGAGAATAATTTGACACCATCAATTCTTAGAACGGTGGATGGAGAATCAGAATCTGATCTTGAGAACGGTTTCCGGAATTCAAATAATCTTTCCGCGTTTAAAAAAAGGGAAAAGGCAGTGGAGTGATGCTGCAAATTTTTTTGCGAATTAAGATCCAGTGTCAGAATCCCGGAAAATAAAATCGAAATTAGACTGGATCCCACGTAAAAACAGTGTTCCCATTTACAAAAATTACTAATTTGGACAGTAAGGGTTTTTGTCTTCACAAGTTTGGTTGTATGACCCATAATAATCCTAATGAGCTAAATTGATGAAAAGTACTGTCGAATTTGAATTTTGTTAAAAACTTGACATAGCTTACTTTACATATTATAGAAACAATATTTCCGATGCATGTAGATACGCGTATTAGGCTTGAAATCTGGGTGATTGACTGGTGATATGGTCGCAAATCATAATTGCTATTTGAATGGCCCCTCCATTGGACTGCCTAGTTCACCAATGCAAAGGATATTTATTTGATTTAACAATCGAGTGAGCCAGCACAATATATAAACCACAGTTATTTGAGTACAGTTCCACCGTACATTAACACAGTAGCCGCAAACTTCTTGGAATAAAAACAGTATGTAATACATCATTATATCCTACATATGGCATCATAGGGTGCTATTTCCGAGAACGCTGTTGCGAAATACTTGTGTCACGGGTTCATTTAAAATCAATAAAGAATTTGGAACTTGTGTTACGTTAATGATTGTGAGCTTTTGCGATCCTTACGGGTGCCGATTTCGAGAAATCGAGCGATGAAAAACCGCAAACGGCACATATATAATAACCGCCAAAATCGTTGATTGCGTATACGTGTCAACTAGGCACCAGACTGCGAAGCTCCCGCCTTAATGTATTCCCGGAAAGGGACACAGGCGCGAACACCCGAGCGCGGGGCAATACAACTGGTACGTTTCGTGGAACACGTACTGCCTCTTTCGTAAGGTTGATGAATATGATAAACTGACGAAGACGCGCGCGTTTAATTTTCGCATTTGAAATAATGTTTACAAAGTATCACAATATACGGCTGTTTCAAGTACTATCGTTACCCCTTAGAAACTAACATCTTCTGTTATAGATTCTTGCCACAGAAAATATTAGTGAGAACATTGTTTAAACTTGTTTTGATAAATAAACAAAAACGTTGCTTAGCAACGCATAAAGTGCCCTTTGTTTCGTTTCGTGTCCCGTGTCTGACAAGAAGGGAGTGGAGTCTACAATCGACTGTTCAGTTGTAGATTCTTGCTCGAAAAAAATGGCGGGAAAAGATTGAAAGAGTGGCAAATATAGTTCGTTGATGTTCCCGGGCCTTCATGCTAGATCCCTACTTGGTACCGCCATCTTATAAGGCAATTTATGGACAGTTATGTAACATGTAACAATGAATATCTGATAAGCCGTTTAACGTTGATTTACCAACAGCCGCTATGCAACAACGCCCATTTTATATGAAATCCGACACACAAAAATGTGCCTGTGTTTGTTTGTATTATTGCATATCAAAATTTATAATCGCGATACATAACCAAAACAAAAGTTTATATTTTCCACACTTGAATCAGCCTAAACGTCACGTTTCGCCAAGAGATAATCATACCCACGCGGTCAATTTATATACGGATCATCTTTGATCATACTTCACTAGTGCCTGAATTGAAACCGCGCGAATGAGATATTAATAGAATTGAAAGCTCGATCGAGAATTTAACAACGCACAAATTTGTTTATAAATCAAATGTTGCCACATTAATATAACCATGTAGTTCCAAGAAGATTAGTGCACACGGGTGGTTTACGTTATAACTGATTAAGGGAAAATGAATGTGGCCAACCTGGTAACGCTGTTTTTTGAAACACTATTACATGTTTAGGTGATGCATATTTGATTGTGTAAGTGCCTGAAAAACTATTTAACTTACTGAAAAATTCAGAGTTAACACTATTACTATCAAAAACGTTGTGATATGTTTTACTGCTAAAAATTAAAGGATACGAATTCAGCGAATAAAGATGTAGACTAACATAACCACTTTATTCGTTTTATTTTACTTATCAATTTGTTATATTGTAAAATTAAATTATTCTTACTATACCCATACTTGCATTTGTATTTAACAATTTGGGTTTACGTTTCTACGATATATTAGCTTCATGGAATTGTGAAAAGGGTCATGTGAGGACCAAGTGGCTTGTCTGACTTGTGGTAGACTACATATAACAGAAAACAGTAAAGGAACAAAGTCTTAACATTATTTAAAGGATTTTTAAACATAAGCTATGAGAAATATACGCAGAAAGTTCACGACCGACAAATCCAAGAAATGGTCTTTGTTTAGACGGCACTGACTCACGAGAAAAAAAACATCAACTGTTCCGACGGTATCTGTCACTCGACACCATGTCAAGCTAAATTTTCCAAGAAACCGAGTAAAAACATCTAAGCCGGCGAAAATCGAAATTCTCTTAAATTGGTCGGTGTTCCAAGAGTACTAATTTACTCGAAAGCTATGGCTTATCGCTTTGTGGCTTGAAAGAACTATTTCGACGAATGGGTCTTTATTTTTATTCAGAAACATGCTGAAATCCAGATAATGTCACGTTCTTTCAAGCCATTTCAACATCCGCTCTCGGATATTGCCTATCGAAATTTTGTATCCATTTTCCCAGAAAAATAGTTTATATAGGTAAGTCCGATTATGGCCCGTGCTTAATAACAAGAAATTGCTGACTAATTTTTTCCCGCCTTCTACGAAAATTCATTTTGTATTGAAATTAAGCCACAAGCTAATAATTATGAAAAGCTTATTAAAGTGTTTTAGTTGGAAATCTATTGAAAAGCACTGTGATGTCACGTTTTGTGGTTTTTCTGAAGATTTCCAATTCCGTGAAGAAAATACAGTTGACTCCCTGTTCGATCACGTGATTATTGGTGTTGACCGGTTAATTAGAATATCGCTTTATTTAAATATTATGAGATTATTACCACGAATTGTTTGACCAAATTGCAACGTGCCGTCACCGTTTTAGAAAGGATTCTGTTATTTTATCGTCAAATTCGTCAAAGAGAAAAACATATGGTCGAGTTTTCTACAAAATATATATCCGAAACAATCAATCATACAATAAATGCTATTACTCAATCGAAGTTATTTTCAACAAAAAATTGACGTCACACCGGCTCCAACGCCACTATTGTTAATCCCCAACTCAAATAATTCTCCTTTATATTTATTTCTGCTATCGATTCTTATTATCTTTTTCTGCTGTATTTTTATGTACTAAAAGTTTCATCGTACGCTTGTCGATTTTCGCCAGAAAATGGGCGCAAGAAACATAGAGTTTCTTCAATTTTTTCGCGCTAATTCATTCATTTTATACCTTACGGAATAATCAGAATGTGCCAGGGTTTATTTGAATGTTTCTTGAATATGATGGAATTTGAATCTCGTCTATATGCAGTATGCAGATTTAATATTAGTTTTCGTAAAATTGAACCGCGGGCCTCATTTTTTATGAAAAATAACCTGGAACACCCTATAATTAGAAAGCCTAAGTGAAGTCAATTAAAACACGAAAATGTCAGAATATCTCAAAACATTAGGCATATATTTTATCTAACGATAATATTCTGCGTTCTCCGACGATCGTTAACATGTCCATTATGTCGTAACAATCACATAATAAACATGCTTTTCAGTTATGAATGTCACCATAGGCTAGTGCGCTATATTTTAATAGATGCCGAAGTCAAGATTAAATCTTTGTTATTAAAATGCCAGTACCGGGTCGAGCGAACCCGCTTCACATTTTGGTCAAAAATAATATAATGATAAGTGGTGGCTTATAGTATAGAGTTAGACTTGTTTTCTTAAAAATCTGGTTCACGGCAGTAACATTTCTAGCCCAAAGGGAAATTTTATTGACGCTTGTGTTAGTGTAAGGTAACGTGAAACTCAATTATATTATCGTGTTTTTCGAGCATCGCACGTCATGGGGTATTTTTTTTAAATCCAATGTAATTGCATAGTATGTTCAGAGAAATAAATAAAATTTGAATGATATGAAGGTGAAATTTAAAAATGGTGAACTTACTTTGGATCGCTACTGTCTCGTAACAAAAAGCTTCCTGGCTCCAAGTCTCGAAGTACACGCTGCGCTTCTTGTGTTGTCATTTTGCCCCAATACCAGGGACATTCTTCAACTCTTTCCAAAACTTTGGCGAGCCTACATAGGTCGGTTACCTGGCCGGGATCCTCTTGAGTTACATTACTATGTGAGGCAGTCCTTGAAAGTGTGGAAGAACTATGCGAGGAGGTTGCGGAACGCCTCTGACCTCGATTACTTTTTTGATACTCAACTAACTTAGCATAAGAAGCCATTGATAGTTGAAAATGTGGGGGCTTTGATGATGTAGAAGTACCATCGTGATGGGAATGGTGCTTATGATGTGAGCTCGGTTTGCGAGAAATATGACTCACAGACATGTCCTTCATATTAGCATTACTGGCTCCTTGCTGCAGTTGTTGGGATCGTTGTTGGTGTTGAAGAATGAAATTATTTCTACTTTCTCGATCTTCCGGTCGTATTGCTTGGTTTTTAGTACGACATGATAAATTTTCCTGCGATGTTTGATGCTGCATGTTGCCATTCAGGTTTGGCGTCATCGCACATAGACTACTTTGGTTTTGAGAGCTCACTCTATCGTGTATATGCATTTGGGGTGCTGGGAAATGATAAAACAAGCGGTTAAATTAAATTCTACGATCTCGTAGCTGACAAAACTACAGTACTCTATCAATAGAAGACGGAATAGATATATGGTCCTTGATATACGTATTCCCTCTTTTATATACTACTTATTGGGCAGCTTAATACACTAAATTTGAAATGTAAAGTACCAGAGGGGAAAACTCAACAAAACCAAATCCTTCGAAAATGTAAAAATTGACAAAGTAAATATAACTTTGCTGACGTAAAGCGATATAAAATGAAAGAGGACAAATATTAACAATAGAAACACACCTGAGGTAATACCGAAATAAAACCAAAACGGAAGTGTTAGCGGAAAGAGAAACAACCCTAAAAATTCAGTCCCATTGAGAAAATAAAAAATCTTATCAATTTGAAGTGGAGTAAATCTCTTATCAGTATGATTGACTATATTTGATCTGTCGCCAACAATTAGGGGAGAACTAATGCCTAGATCCACACAGTTAAACGCAGTTGTGAATCACTCTGGTCGGAAACCTGACCTGAGTACATAAGTGCGGTTCCTGTTACGTGCATATAATATCAACCACTAGAATATAATCAGCGATATTAAACACACAAATCAAATGTATAAAAATAAAGTAGGCCATAAATTTAAAAGTTGAAGCAGCGGGGAAAACAGTCTAACATCTACATCTTTTGTCTGTATTTGCTGATTTCCTTCAAGTATATTTCTTATGAAACTAAACCCCAAGGTTGCCAATACATTCGTATTTATAACCAGAAAATTCAATTTCCCCACAGACTATATAACTTGACACTCGCTCACAATTAAGCAATAAACAGACAGCCATACAGTGGGGCATCAATATTTAAAACATTTACTTCTAATTTGTTACAACACTGACTCATGGTTGTTGATAAATTCTAACTAATCTGTACCCGAACGCTGTATTTTTAACTTACAATCACCGTGTTGTCATAGATAAATACACCAGAATGAACATATGTAAACTTAAATCTTAAAAAATATTGAACAAATTTTAGAAAAGGTTGAATGAGACGGTCTCCTATTTTTTTTATAAGACTTAAAGAATAATAAGCGCACACAATATACACACTCTTTCCAAAATGGTCTTAAATGCTTTGACCAACTTAAAAACCAGTCGAGTTGTAGGCTATCTATTCATGCTGCGCTCTCCACCCTGACGGTGTTTCTCTACGATTGAGCTATCTTGGGAAGTACGACGCATGTTATTACCATTCATAACGAGAGAAGTTCGTAGCCTTACACATCGACGTCGGTTCTGAGAACTCGTCTAATTATTAACGCCAATATCGACCACAAGCGGCTTTTGTTCGCTATTATCTACGTACCGTACATAAAGCATCCTATGACAGTTTCTTCCTTTCATTAATTAATGAACTAGTTCCTCGGAATGTCGAGTGGCATGACGCCTGATTTTTTATATGGCATATTCTGACGCCGCGGAATTGTGTCAATAAGTAAATTAGTTTCTGTTAAAGACTTTGCGTAGTGTAATTACAGTGAAAATATAAGATCAATGTAGATATTTGTAATATTTAGTCGGACGTAAACCACTAATTTAAAATCATTGGTAAAGTAATAAGGAAAGCCCAATTTTTAATTTGAAAGCAAATAGACATAAAACCCGATTTTACAAAAAAAATCACTCACACTAAACTATTAGCCTGTTTAAGAACTGAAATTTATTTTGAGAGGTATTATATCAAATAAACAGTGGTAAATCAAAAACACAAATAAAGTCAAATCAAGATTTTCGTGAATATTTCTGGTCTTTTTCTTCTTAATTTGTGGTAATATACCACCACAAAAATTCGATTTGAGTATTTCCAACCCCGCATTCACCGCAGACTGCAGTATTGGTTCGGTAAAATATGCAAATTTTCTTTCAAACTACGATTTTTCAGAGAACGCGTAAATTTTTGGATTACCAAAAATATCACGCCGCGTCAAAATAGTACGATATCGTAGTTGTTATTATCGTTAATGTTACTCACGCTAACCACAGTGCGCGTATCTCGAAACCTATCTAGGATGTTGTTAGAAAAATCGTAAAACTTATTAAAGATTTACCAGTACTAAACCCTTGTATTAAAATTACAATTTACATTTTCTTAAATCCAAGTTGAAAAACAGTTTTAAATTACGTGAAAATTTCCTAGAAGGCAAACCGTAAGCCAGGTTCACCAGATGCTATCTCATACCATCCGTGCAAAAATATCGTTAGCGAATTCATCTTTGATCAACTACGGAATAGATATACATCGCGATTGGGAATAGTAAATATCCATAGTTTAAGCTTGATATGGAACCAAATAATTATTGTTAACATTAAAAATTCAAAAGCAATAAAAACAGTTGGAAAGCGATAGTACCAAATCCACGGTATCTCCAATTTAACTGAATATGATTGATTGTATTGCGAAGGTTTCTACTTACTGGGACAATTTTGCACAATCCAGTTTCGACCGGTTACCGATCGCAAGGTTTTCAAAGCCAAAATCGCAGAATTTCAAACCGCTAGCGAGCGGATAATGTTATTTCTGTTACCCGACTGCAACGAATTTTTTGCTCTTGCAAAGATTAATTATAATTTCTTTTTATTTTGCGATCAGCGTGAACGGCGCGAAGCGGTACCAAACATGTTCAAATGTTTTGCTATTACTCCCCACTAAACTTAAAATCATCTTGAGCGACTAAATTATAACGGCAGAACTATTCTAATGAAATTGTGACAACTAATTCCGTTCAGAGTCCAATACATGCAAAACAGAATTCGGCAGTATAGTCTATATATCATCGTCTGGGAGTTAGAATTGAATGAAATCGTGACAGTGTTGCAGTTACATCACGACAGAAAATTGTAATTTCCGCATCGGTAGTTGGAAATGTCTGCCGCGCATTTTTAAAGTGGCATCATTTCCATGCGTTGCTGTATTGTATATATTACTAAACATAAGCAGAATATCACTAAATTTAAAAGCAGTCGCGTTATGCTTCTTTCTAACTACAGTCGAAAACCATTTACATTAATTAATAATGATGGCTTTATACACTACACTCGTCGAAATTGCGACCGAACCCACTCCATATTCGAAGTAGTTTGTGCAACTGGCACCAAGTGGTCGTTGTGGACCATTTTAAATCACACATGTAGCCTGCCATTAATATTTTTTATGATTACTGAAGTACAGACAAGTCGCCAGGGTTTTCAAGGCTAGAACTAACCGCAAATCGACAATACCATTACCGACGCCCGCTCTGCATCTGACTTTCAAGCTTTAAAGTACGTGGATTATAATACGAAAACGCGTTAGTTACATCGCTCTCTCGCAGTCGTTCCAAGAACATGTTTGCTCAACAACGTTTATTGTTAGCGCGAGCGCAACAGTGTTTATTGATTCCAGTTTCAGAGCTCATTTCGAGTTCCCGCCGTGTCGTATTTCAGCCGCATCAATTTTTGTAAAAACCTGAGTTACAGCGAGCGATTGATTCGTTATCCGCGCTTGGTCAGCGTGATCTTTCTTCCCGTGAGGCCGCGAAACTATGCCGGTAGCATATAAATACACTTTTCACGCTGTAGGTATTTGGTCTGCGACGCAAATTCGACAGCATTTCATAGCTGACAATGAATGAATTACGAAGAGTAACGTTATGATTACTGTACATGTAAACAGAATTAGATTTAATTTTTGTTCATTCCCAAAATACAAAATCACTGAAATTGGCATCATACGGCGAGATATCACAATTTGACGTTCTTAGAAATACTAACATGGCGCTCAAACTTTCATATGACGTTGAGTAACGTAACGTTCATCTTAGTGTCAAAGCTTTGGAATTTTATTGCCCAGCATCCGTAAGACGTATTTCGTACGGTTCCATTACATTTGAACCCACGTACATTTGAACCCATGGCAATTGCACCTGTATGCTATTGCACCTATGGAATTTTTTTTGTTTTTCGGATAGTTGAACCCACACTAACCCTACCCCATGGGTTTTAGCACCCGCATATAGATTGAACCCGTGGATATACACATGGGTTCAAATGTACGTGGGTTCAAATGTACGGTCACCATTCCGTACGTATGCTTAAAAATTTTTTACGTCACATTTAATGTTTACTAAGTCAATATATTTTATTACGCAATACGGCTCTTTATTTGATCATTAATACCTTACCGAAGGCTACAGAATAGATTATTGCATCCTCTTCTAATACGGAAACAAATTTAACCTAATATTTCAACTGTAATCCCTTAGCAGATAATTTCTGTTTGTCGATTAAATTGTATTCAATAATTGGCATTGGAATTCGAGGTACTAAAACTCATGGGCGATAAAATATTTGCACTGGTATTGAAAATCAAACGGTTCTCCTTCCCCCTGTGACCACGTGACTTATGGCGCATTTTGACAGAACATTCTTGTTTTTAAAAACCACAATGGCGTAATACACACGCATATTTATTATTGGGATTTCGATAAGTTTGCAAAAATCACAATAATAACGACTGAACAGCTCTCGTTCAACGATTTGGGAAGCTCTCGGTAAACTGAAATCATTGAAGCATGGATAATTTTGTTTTCAACTTCCTTGTGACGTAAGAATGTATTGGTTATGAAGAAGGAGAACTGATTTTCGAGACGCTGATGTTTCGGGTTTACCTAGGTCCTAGGCCATCATAAAAATTGGAGTTGGGCCGTTTTACACTCCGATACTATCCTTATTACGGCAATTCCTCAGTACAAACTTAAATTTGTACTCTTGGGAATGACGAATTAATCATCATGTTGTATTCGTCTTCCAATGCGTTAACTGACAAAATCGCATGGACATATTCCACGGAGCTATCAGTTCTACGATACAGCTTTTTATTGTAGAATAAACAAATTTGGATGTTTCGTTGAATTGTCTCTTGATGTCGTCAGTTAACGACTAGACTGTGTACATAGGTGAAGAT